TCCAATGATTTCCTAGACTTGTTTTTTTCCTTCTGGAAGGTGTTTTTGTTAAGTTTGGAAATAGAAACAAGTCAAAAGGTCAAAGATCTGGCAAATATTGTTAATGTGAAAGAACATTAACTTTCTTTTTATCCCGAAAAACCCTTTACTCTTTAGGGCATGCGGGTTTGAACGTTTGTCATGAAGAAATTCAATGTAGTGAATTTCTGATTCTGGGTGCTTCTTCTAATAAACCTTTCAATTTTTGTCGCAAAAAAATTGTTTTCTAGACTCCTTCAGATATCAAATTGTCTCCCCGAATAGGAATTTGAACAACAATACCAGATATTTAAGAAAATTGCATATAAATCTGTCTTTCTGTCCTTGCATACCTTTGCTTTTGTCAGACCTTCGCCGCAATAGATTCATGTTCCAATATCTGTTTGAATATAAAACAAACGTGGATAACTACAATTACTAATATTTTAAAGTAATTGTTAAGAATTTCGTACACGCTGTCGTTTTCACTCATTTTTCAAAATATAGGGTGACCTTTGAGTAACAAGCCTTTTTACTGTCAAACGGTTCTTAAAAACAGTGTAAATTACTCCCGATATGATGTCTCTCAAATTTCCTATGTGTCTTAAAGTCAATCGTACATTATCAAATATTATTTGCTGAAATTTGGCAAAGAGTACATTAGCTGTCAAAATTTTTGTTGGCAAGGAGGGTACCCATTTTTGATGCCCATGATATAAATTTTTATCATTGAAATCCACCTGCTCATTTGTCTATAAAACAGGCATTGGTTGCTGTAAATGACACACATTTTAGTGAATATATTTTTGGGATTTTTAACAAATTTTATATTAGCTTTAATGTAGCCTTTATTTTCACTCTAGTTTACTGGTTCTTTACCATTCATTTATAATGCAGTGTCTCGAAAAGCCCTTGTTTCCCAGCTTCTCACGGTGAAACTATGTGATGAAAAGTGGTCACATAAACTGTTATAAATTAAATAAAGATTCAATAATGAGAGAAAGTCAGGTTTAATGTAATATGATATCTGTATTGTATGTCATACAGTTCAGGACATTATTTATTGAACAGCCCTCGTACATCAGCATATGTAAATATAGGAGCTTGAATGGCGTATAGGAGGGTTGTCAGTCACTGGAGGTGAGAAAGAGAGTAGAAGAAATGGAAGACTCAGACTACAAAGAGTGACGAGAGACTTCTTAAAAGACTAGCTTTACAGGCTCCTTTTTAAACGGCAAACAAACTGATAAGTAAATGGAATACACAAGCTCCTTTCAGCAGAAGGAGAGTAATCTTTGGGCTAAACAAGGAGTGGGTGCGATCACGTTGGCCAATAAAATGTTCACTGTTGTCCCCAAGACACAAAGACGCAAGACTGATGTGGGAACGACAACACAGGAGGTTAAACATTCGGTCTTTGCAAAAAGGTGCATTGGTCAGATGAACGTCGATTCTTGCTACATATCCTGTAGATAGCAGGGTTCGAGTTTGGAGACACCCAAATTCTGAAAACAGCAAAATGGATTGAAAATGAAGACCTTAGGTGAAGGTAGTGTTACAGTATGGGGATGTTTCGCTTTGGGATGTCAAGTGGATCATCACATTCTTGATTTAAATTCTTAATGGCACCTTGACTGCACAAAAGTACAGGGATAACATTCCCAGCCCATTTGTTGTGCCTCATTTTGATGGTCATCCCTTAGCAAGTCGACCTGTACTAATGGCAGACAACGCTAGAACACATACGACCGAAAAGTGAAAAAAAATGTCTCAGACCTGAAGCCATTGAAACCTTACTCTAGCCTGCCATGTCCCCAGATAGGAACCAATTGAGCAACGCGGGATCTTGGTCGTTAATTACAGGACTCCAAGTTGTGAAAACGTACATATACTAGAGGAATTGAACGATGCTTTTATTTGAGAGTGCATAGATCCGCTTAGAATATCATGCATTGAAATCATCTGTTTATGACATTTTAAAATTATCTAAACAAGATTAGTTTGAGTCTTTACTTAACTCTGAGGAATCTCAAAACTTTTCAACATTTTTCTAACTTTTGTTTTTTATGTTCCTTAAAAAAATTTGTAAGCATAAACTTCATAGTATTAATTTTATCGCATCTGTCTTCGAACCTACTTCGAATCTGTCTTCTGTCCATTGAAATATTTTCAATTGTATTGAAATAAATTAGTTTGATTAAGTTTATTAAATAAATTAAAATAATTTTGTTGAATTACGACCACCGCGTATTACTTTTTCAATGTTTGGACACATGCCCCCTACCCCCATTCCGGAAACACGTCACGTTATACAGATAGGTACTATATATGGAGAATATTGATTGTTGTTACGTCTTCTAAACAGGTGCCATTTAAATTTCGCAATACTTAAAACACAGACCAATGGATTTTCTGAAAACAGCCAAGTAGAGTGGATGTAAAAAGACCCATCTAAATTTGGCACAGGTATGTTAGAAATTACATTGTTTTTGTCGTTTTGTGTTATAAAGATATACTTATAATTGTAAAAGTCTCAATCACAAGCTTTTACTTCTAATACTCTTCCAGTATACCGATATGTATTGTGAGCAATGAGCTCACTAAATGAAACCCCCGCCTCCCATATGGTTATAATGGCAAAGTTCATGTTTCGCTGTGGCCGTGAAATGCAAAATATGTGTCGGATCAAAAGTAAAATAGGAGGCGCACAATGGCAATATGTTATAAAGATTCTGTGAAAGTTTCATTAAATTTCACTCAATGGTATAAGAGGAGTTGCAGATAAGAGATGGGTACCCCAAGTCTAACAGACGGACGGACGGACATAACGATTAATATATACCCTCCCGCTTTTCAAGTGGGGGATATAAAAATTTAACAGACAGATTTATCAGACGCGAGAATCTCTACACGAATTAAGGGGATTGAGGAAGTATGAATACTGATTTTGTGGAGTACTTCTGATTGAAAAAATATTCTAACGTTATGAGAGAGGGGGGATTTGCATTAAAACGTAGGCTTTATAAGTTGTCAGCAAGGTTTGTAATTCAACTACTCGAAAGGAAAATGTTAATGATAAATTATGAATGCCGATAACAAAGTAATAACAATAAAATACCGGGTATATGGAGATAACAAACAGAATTAAAGCTAAAAAGTCCATAAAACAAAACAAAATAGTATAACAGAGCAAACAAGGACCTCCAAAACATCAGAGGTGGGATCAGGTGCAGTGGAAGAGTTAATATCCTTTGCTGACCGTGTGCTTGTCAAGATCGGAAAATAACGAAAAAACTGTCGTCATATCCGACCATAAAACGAAACTGCTGATATTCAACAAGGAAATTTTTTTTCTTTTGCCTAGATAAATATAAGGAAAAAATAAAAGAATTCTGATCGAGAGGAAAAAGGAAGAGGAAACAATTAAGGTAGGTCGCGGGTTTACTGCAAAAAAATTCTTACGAGAAAACATATCCTGAAAATTTGATATAATGTTCCTTAGAATTTACTGCGTATTATCTGCAATTTTTATTAAACTTGCCTACGTAGTTTTGAAGCTATGTTACTGTAAACGCGGTGTAGTTTGATTGACTCAAGTTGTTTACCTATACCAAAAATGTTATCTTTCAAAGGTATTTTAGAATATATTTACATTAACCTAAAGACAATGTCCACTTATACGTATATATATAAGCCTTCTTTCTTATAAAACCCATTTTCTCTTTCTTTAAACCTAGCTTTTATTCTACTTTCGATTTCTGTTTTCCAAAAATCAAACCTGTTTTTAAAAAAATCAATATTCTTTAAAAATGTAAATTGCGTAATCTAAACGGCACTGATCATTCAATTCTCTCCAGAGTAAAACTATTTAAAGTCATGCATGGTTTTAAAATGAAACTTTGTAAATAGAAAAACAGATCTGAATATTTTCAGCAATGGCCAGAAATTATCATTATTTTGGCAAGATTTGTGTTATTCCTTTTATGTTCATTTCTTGGGTTCTTAAAGATATTTTTATTACCCCCACCCGACACCCCACTAACTTGAAAAGCGGGAGGGTATATAGTAATCGTGATGTCCGTCCGTCCGTCTGTTACACTTTGGTGTCTCATCTCTTATCCGCAACTCCTCTCATACCACTGAATGAAATTTGATGAGAATTTCATAGATATTGCCATTGTGCACCTCCTATTTTACTCTTTGATCCGAAACATATTTTGGGTTTTCTATAGCAAACACGGACATTGCCATTATATGTATATTCACATGGGATGCAAGGAATTCAGTTAGAGACCTCATTGCTCACATGTACAGTGTCTCTAGTTTAATATTATTTTTTAGGTATTATGTTGGTCACATGTATCATATTCACAAAGTCTTGCATTGTTTAAACCTTGATTAATTATACCCCTGCATGAAAAGCAGGAGGGTATATTGTAATCGCTGTCCATCCTTTCGTCTAGCTGTACGTTCGTCCGTCTCTCTGTTAAACTTTGGGGTACCCCTCTCTTATCCGCAACCGCAACTTCTCCTATACTGCTGCATGAAATTTGATGAGATTTTCACAGAATCTTTATTACATAATGGCATTATGCACCTTCTATTTTACTTTTTAATGCGACACATATTTTGTGTTTCCCATAGCAAAACATGGACACTGCAGTTATATTCATATGGAAGGCGGGGGTATTATTTATTAAGTTCATTGTTCACAGTATATCTCTAGTTTTATTTTTTATAATTAAAATTACACATGTTACATGAAGGGTGCAAATTGTTGTAACTTCGTCGATTAAAATGAAGACAATTAATTGTTGGTCGTTCCGTGTCAAATTTACCCACTACACATTTTAAACTTGGATCTTGTGTATCTACATATTTACATAAAAGATGTTATCAAGGGTTTTGGTTAGATTCATGTAAATTTTACATTCTAGGTTTAGTGTTTCAATTCAAACGTTGTTTCATCGATGGACCAAAACAAGCCAGAAAGTGAATTGTCTGAAAAAGAAACATGTATCACTGCCAGTTTATCGCATTCAGAACCTACAAACGAAAACAGCAATCTTTTTCATAGATGCAGAGAAGACCTGCATTGTGAATATGAAAAGAAACATAAACGAGAATTAGAATATAATGAGAAAAAGGACGAAAGCAGAGAAATAGAAAGGAACGAAAAAGGTAAACCAAACGAAAGGCGTTTAACTTCAGATGAGGAAGAAGACAACTTGGAATCGACTCTACAAAGGGTTGAAGTGAATGAAGATTGTACGTTCGTCTTGGATTTAGATGGTCAGAAGGGGACAAATATCACGAGTAGCGTTAATGAAGTAAGTAACCCAGAAAATGACTATCATAAAATGAACAACAGTTTAACTTTGGAGCAACCACAAAACTTTCAAGAAAGAATTGGAACCAGGAATTATAAAGAAAGTCATGAAGAGAGTGATAAACGTAACTCAAATAAAGACACTTTATCTGAAAATGAAAGGGAAGAAAAGTTTAACCTTCAACAACAAAACAACCACGGGGGTACTACGAAACCAATCAACACGATCAAATCAGATATAAAACAAAAATTAGATGAAAACATTTTACCCGTTATTGAAAGTTATGATTCGAATATGAATTTATCAAGAATCATTTTGATTGGAAAGACTGGTGTTGGAAAGAGTGAAACTGGAAACACTATTCTTGGACAAAGAAAATTCGAAACAGCGGCAGGATTTAAATCCTGTACAGCAACCTCTAAAAAAGAAATTAATGTAATAAATTGCCAAATTTTAGAGGTAATAGATACACCTGGTTTATATGACACTTCACAATCAGAGGAAATGGTCAAGGATGAAATTGCTAAATGTTTAGAAATGGTGTCACCAGGACCGCATGTATTCCTGGTCATCTTGACAGTGGGAAGGATTACGGAACAAGAAAAATACACCTTGAAATACATGACAGATCTGTTCGGAGGTCCAGACTTCTTGAAACACACCATAATCGTTATAACCCGCAAGGAGGAACTTAACCCCGAGTATGACTCAGATAACGACGACGAAGATTTCGATGTTTCAGAGGAGCTTGCTGAGTTTGTAGGAGATTCTGAGGACCTGAAGAGAATGGTGGAGCAATGTCAAGGCAGGTGTGTGGCTATATCTAATGCTGGCGACATTAAAGGATACAGACGAAGAGGAGACGCTGAAAAACTTATCCAATCTATCAACCAGCTGATAGAGGAAAATGAAGGATTGTGGTACAGTAATGCACTGTTTGAGGCGTTGGAAAAGGACAAAGAAGATCGAATGAGGAAAGCAGAAATCGAAAGACAAAATGCAATCCAAGATAAACAGAGGCGTGAGGATGAACGAAAACGAGAAATAAAAAGACGAGAGAAAAATATTGAAAAATTGGAGAAAGATATACAAAAGGAAGAGGAGAAATTAGAAAAAGAACAATCTAGATCGGGGGAATCTCTTGAAAAATTAAGGGAGGAGCTGGAAGAATTTATTGCAGAAAATGAAGAGCGGGAACACGATAGGGAGGAAAGTATAAGAAAAGAGAAGAAGCGTTTAAAGGATCTACAAAAAGAAAACGACGATTTATGTTCTCAATTAGATAGTATAGATTGGACAATTTCCAATTCAAAGAAAAATAATACAATATGTGCCATTATGTGATTCGAAATTTTAAATGAATATCACTTGGACAAAACTACATATGTGTACATAAAATAACATGCGGGACACATTGTCAAATATATAAAGTTTAACGAGGCTAGGGGGTGGCAGCCATTTTTAAACTATTTCAATCTCCTTTAAAAGGAGAGCTCCATGTAAAGATATACAAAATGATCAAATTTTAAAACTAAAATATATGATTTTTTTCTTTGTCAAATGATAGTTGACAGCTAAAGATACCGTATCTAAAAAAATAATTTAAATCTGCTGGTTAACTTGGGATTAAATTGTTGACCCACCAGCCTCCTTAAATTGATTAGATCTGTGCTTGAATATGATGATCTTCAAATGCTGAACTTTTGAAGGTATCTTGAAGCAATTTAATGTTTCTATACGCAGGTCCATTTATTCATTGAAAACTATTGACATGTGGAGATAACATACAGTACTCAAAATTAAAAAAAAATTCATAAAACAGTACAAAATAGGAGTAGTGCAAATACGGGCCTTCAAAACATCACGCAGAGGAACTGGTTCAGGTAGCATGGAGGAGTGATCATCCACTTGATACCACGTGTTAAAATATAAAAAAAACCGGATAGAACGGGTCTTTCGATCAAACACTCGTATAGATTTTTTTTTCTTATAATACATTAGGGACAATTCTATTGCATGTAAAAAAAGGAGCTCGACTCGCTAGTGCATTCCATTCAAACCAATCAAATATTCTTTTCAAGTCAATGTTTACATTTTGAAAATATTTGATTTAAAAATACTATATATTAATATAGCTTGTGTGTAAAAAATAATAATGAAAACTATATGTGCTTTGAGCGCAAAGCTCACTAAATAATACCCCCATCCTCTATTTGATTATAGTGGCAAAGATCACGTTAAAAATTTGCTTTGGGAGACCCGAGATAAGTGTCAGATCAAAATGTAAAATATCAGTCATCAATCTGTAAAAGTATCATTAAATTCTACTCATTGGTATAGAAGGAAATGTGGATAAGTGATGGGTACCCTTCAATATTAGAGAAAGAATAGCAGTGTCAACGTTCTGCTATGGAAAACCCAAAAAATATGTCCGATCAAGAAGTAAAATAGGAGAGGCACGATGGCACTATGTAACAAAGATTTCATTTTGTAAAAGACTCATAAAATCTCATTCAGTGGAATAAGAAGAGTTGCATGTTAGAGCTGTGTACCCCTAAGCGTAAAGGATGGACGGACGTAAAGACGGAAGAATGGACGGATTGGAATCTGCTATTTCTAAACATTATTTTTTTTTACCCCTGATGACCTACAGATTCACACACACAGTGAGAGAGAGAGAGAGAGAGATTAATGCAGATTATTCATTGAAACGTGGTTTTCCGAAGTTGTCAAAAATTTTTGTAATTTGTCTTATCTAAATAAGGATATGGAGACAACGAACAGTATTCAATCTCAAAGTATATTAAACAATACAAAATAGGAGCAGAGCAAACACGGATCTCCAAAACATCAGAGGTGGGATCAGATGCAATGGAGGAGTGAGCATCCCCTGCCGACCGGTCATACCCACCGTGTGCTCTTCGTCATGATCAGGAAATAACGGAAAAATCCGTCGTCAATTCAGTGTATAAATAATGGACTAACAATTGGTATGAAAAACGTCAGTCAGCATTTGTCTTAATGATAAATTGTATTTGCTGCCAAGGTCATTGTATCGACCATAGAACCTACGAAATGATGACTTTAAACGAGACTGCTGATATTCTTTCTTGTCAATTGTTTACCTCGTTTTAGAAATTGTTCATACGTAGAGCATGCTCTTGCGTATCGAATCAACTGAGATATATATACTCCGTATGCAGGTGATGAAGGTATATTGCTGCATAAGTAAGGGAAGCTGACGATTAAAAAGTTAAAGTCATCACGTTTATCATATAGCTTGGTTGTTAGATTCCCATTAGTGTCTTTTTCAAGTAAAATATCCAAGTATGAAACAGAAGTGTCGGACTCTGTGGTATCTTTTATCTCAAGCTCACCAGGATATATCGTATCGACGTAGGAATGGAAATTACCATTATTAATTGACAATAAGTCGTCGATATATCTAAATGTCAAGTTGAAGGCCACAGCAAGTGTTTTCTATTTTTCATGCATAAGATTTTGCATCTGCTTCATATGAATATAAAAATAAGTCTGCTAATAACGGAGCGCAATTTGTACCCATGGAAATTCCAATAGATTGTTGGAATACCTGGTCTCCAAAAACCACATAGATATTGTCGATCAGAAACTCAAGCATCTTCTTGATGTCAACTTCAGAGTACTTATGTGTGCAATCAGAATCTGTTTTAACATAATAATTTTGCAAATGACCAATGACGAGGTAAGTAAATTTACGAGTTCCATTTTTATTGAAAAAGCAGCTGTCGATGATTTCAAAAAGCCTGGATTTTAATTAATTGTTGTGTATAAAATTGAAAAGTCGTAAGTTTTTAAGCTGTTGATTTTGGTAAAGCCCTGTGATTTCAAATTGTCCAAAAGTTCTTTAGAATTTTTTAGTACCCATATCTGATTCACGCCACTTCTTGAATATATAGTTGCACAGTACTCTTGAAGTTTTTCCTTCACTACTGTCAATATCCTAGTGAGGAGTAACGAAAGAGGCTTGGTTGAACATTTACTGGAACCTGCTATGTATCTTTGTAACGATTTTTATGAAGTTTCGGAATCCAACATATATAAGGTAGTTCAAATTTATTTTGGCTCTGTGGAATGTTAAAAGTATTCAAAACTGACAGGTGATTTTGAAGAGGGATTACCACTTGTAGAAATTAAAATCATATATTAAAACCCTGTATTCCTTGCAGATATTGAGCTGTTTTTGATATGTGATATCTTGATGGGTTAAAGTTCACGTTCATTTTTTTTTTTCGGTTTTCGACATTATCTCTCTAAATGTTTGCAGATATTGACCTGATTTTTGGAATGTGAATGTATCTCGGTAAGTTACAGATCAAATTTGAATTTCCTTCAGATTCAATTACTTTTAAAGGAATTCGTATGGCTTTTTAATATGCCAATAACCGGTGAAACTGGGATGATTCTAGATTTCCTCTGAGTCTATCCGTCTGTCTGTCTTTCCGTCCGTCTAGCCGTCCCTTTGTCTGTCTGTCAGTCTGTTCCACTTGGTTTTCCGCACTATTTTTCTTCACGCTTGCAGATATTACATATGTAAGCAGCTGATTTTGTGTATGTGAGTGTATTTTGATGAGCTACAGATCAGGTTTGCATTTCCTTCTACTTCAATGAAACTTGACAGAAAAGAGTTTTCTGCAATGTCCCCATAATGTCTTTCAGATATTGATATGATTTTTGTTTTTAGACTACCTTGACAAATTTTGGGTCAGGTTTGCATTTTCCATGTTTTCTTCCGCATCATTGATTTTTTGACAGAACTAAATCATTTTTTAATTTTTGACGGGACCCCGATTACACTTGCCGTTTGGGGACTACTGTAGATCACCAAAGTTTGCGACATATTATTTTCTTAGGGTAGAAACTAACTCCTTATTAGCGATCCAAAATTTTGACGAATTGTGGTTAATGCTCTGTATAACCTTACGGAATACTTATATATGCGAGAATGATATTTTCGCGAATACACTGTCTCGTGTAATTACACGAAAATAAAGTTGCAAATAAAAAGTGATTCACAGTAGTATTGCTTTTACAATACTTTCAGAATTAAGGAATCACTGTCTAGTTAGTATAGTATGCCAGGGCATCAACGATAATGGAAATTAAACATGGGATAATTTGCATAACGGGCGAAGTCCGTTATGCATAAATTTTCCCATGTTTCCTTATATTTCTATTTCATTGTGAAATAAAATTGTAGATTTAGATTTTAAAAATGAAGACATAGATTTAAATTACATGAGGACTCCCATGTCAATTTCAATAGTCCTCGACCACTGTTGTCAAACACAAAGGCAGCCGCACGAGAATTACATGCTTATTTGGCCTCCTTAGCGTCAGACATAGAGACAGACGCGCACAAGATTTGCATGCATATTAGGTCTCCCTTAGCTCCTGACCTATCGACCTGCCTAATTTACATTCCGGTTAAAATATCAAGAAATCAAATCCCACTCTCTACCATCGGCTCACACATTCACCTCTGTCGTTGGCTCGCGTATACACAGTGTTAAACACGAGAAATAGTGCGTTTGTTTTAATTCATTATAATTCAATTTCTATGCTTATGTCTGAGTTTTGAGAAAGATATTTACTAAATCAATACAGAACTATTAATTTGAATTGAAACAATCCTTCAAATATCACGTTTTATACGTTATGTCAAAAATCTTGACGTGAGCCCATCGCAGAGGTGTCTGAGAGAGAAACGAACGACAACTCTGCATGGGAGATTGATCAACTCCGCTAACTTTCAAAGAGTTATCACAGAGAAAAAATTAGAAATGGAAATACCTTCAAAGAGTTATCACAGAGAAAAAAAATAGAAATGGAAATATAATGAAATAACACGCAAGAATATATTTTTCTTATGCCTAAATAGAAAAAATAGAAGAATTATGAGAGGAAAAGCAAAAGAGGAAACCATGTGTTGAACCGAAATTGAAAGAAAGTCTATGTTTTCAGATCTAAAATCTATATAAATTTAGCAAATGTTCTGCGTCACTCGTATTTAATTTTACTTGCAGTATTATCATGGATTTGATTGACTTTAGTACGTTTAAGATATTTACATAAACCTAAAGATATTGTCTACAGATACATAGGCCTTCTTTCAGATAAAATCCATTTATTTTCTTTCTATAAACCTAGCTATCAATCGATTATCAATGTCTACTTTCTAAAAATCAAACCCGTTCTCAAAACTCAATATTCTTTAGCATTGTAAATTGTGTAATTTAAACGGTTATGATCGTTCACTTCGTTTCGGAATAAGGCTATTCAAAGTCATGCATGATTTTAAAATGAAAGTCTATTTTACGAGATACAAATAGCTAAATATGATTCAGCAAATGTTAAAACTATTCGTTATTTTCGTAAGATCTGTACTAGGTCTTATAAATTCATTTCATTTCTTGAATTCTTTATTTCTTTATTATTGGGATTTTTTTTTTTTTTTACATCTGAGTGTATTGTTCGAATATTATAAATTTCCATTGGATAAATGTACATGTATATAAAATATATAATTATCATATTTCTAGTGTCTTGCATTGTTTAAACCTTTTGTGATGTTATATTTAAAACATTTAGTGTTCAAATTGTTGTAAGTTCGTTGATTGAAATAAAGTCAGTTAGTTGTTGGTCATTCCATGTTAAATTTATTGATTATACTTGGATCTAATGAATCTCTTTGAAAAAGAAAATGTTAAAGGTTTTTGTTAGATTCATGTAAATTTTACATTCTTGGTTCAGTGTTTCAATTCAAACGTTTCATCATTGGAAGATTCTGTTGAGAGAAAAAGCGAGAGATAGACGAATTAACTCTGCTTATTTTAAATGTTTAAAATATCTATATTGTAGATATTAACTGAAGTTCAACGAAAAGGAAAGAAACAAAATATGGAATATCTAATGAATAAAGAGAAACCTACAGTGCCTCAGTGCGTGTATCAAGAACAAAGAGATGGAGAGGAACCAAATTTTAAAAACGGGAAAGACTCAAATGATTTGAGCAAAAGCTTTGATGAAAGTGGAATTATGGTACATTGTGCAAACATCCCCGCACAAGTTAAAGAAAATGTACCAGAAAACAACGTTCTACAGGAAAGTTTTAATGATATCCAAATAAAAGAGACCAGCACGCATGAAGAAATATCTCTCAGCAATACCAGAACAAAAGAGTTACATGAAACAAGAAATCTGAAAGATGAGGAGGAGCAAACATATGCAGAAAAAATGGTACACAGAGGAGAAGATATTCGGGTTGATTGTCTGACAAAAGGTAGATGGACACAAGATGTAGTCGATGCTTCTTCTGACATAGATTTACGCATTAACTCTGATGGTAATATTCAAGTTAAAAATAATCCTTCTGTATTATCCAGCTGTAATATGAAATCTGTGGAGTATCTGAACACTTTTGCTGAGGGTGAAAAAGAGAGAAATGAACTAAAGGATTGTGACGAAGAATCGAACAAAAATAAATCACAGAATACTGTAACAGAAAATTATGAAAATAACTTCAATAAATTACTTGATAAAAGTGAATACCCTCCTTTAGCAGCCAATAGTAGTAACCATACAGGTTCTGAAGGGAACTATGTAGAAACCAACAGAAAAAGTGAGATCGAAGGGAATTCTGAACATGATAAATTCCCTCAATTATCGAAAATGGCTTTCCCTATACCACCAGATTTGAATAATACATCAACTGGAGAGAATGTAGGGGCCGATAAGGTACTCATCACTACAAGAGATGAAACTTTCGAGAAAGCCGATGAAGACCATAGTCAATATTTTAAGCGTAAAGCACTTCGCATTGTTTTGATTGGCCAGACGGGTGCTGGGAAAAGTGAAACTGGAAACACCATAATAGGTGCTAAAAAGTTTAAATCATCGTCGTCTTCAAAGTCGTGTACAGAAGTCTGCCAAAGAGAGGTCGTAGTCAGAGAAGATATGATTCTAGAGGTTCTTGATACCCCGGGTCTCTTTGACACACATAAACCAGCCGAGGAGCTGAGGAAAGAATTTTTAAAATGTATGGTTATGATGAATCCTGGTCCTCACGCATTCCTTTTTATTCTAAAGATTGGTCGTATCACCGAACAAGAGAAAAAGACATTAAAATATCTCAAAGAAATCTTTGGTGGTGATCATTTTCTTAAGCACACTATTATCGTCATTACTAGAAAAGATGATTTACAACAATTCGATTCGAGCACAAAAACGACCGAAGAAGAAATTGATGATCATTTTAAAGCCATTCTTGAAAACTCGCCAGATCTTTACGTTATGGTTTCACAGTGTGAAAACAGATACTTTTTAATTTCAAATAAAGGAAAAGTAGATGGACAAAAGCGCCAAACACAATCTGATAAACTCTTATCACTTATAAAGAAAATGACAGTCGAAAATGGAGACACCTTTTATTGTTATAAATACTTCTTAGAAGTCGAGGAAGAAAGGAAGCTGAAATTGAGGAGAGAGGCTCAGAGGAAGGAAGAAGAAAGAAAGTTAGAAAAAGATAGAGAACAAAAGGAGAAACTGGAAAAAATCAAGGAACAAGAGCTTCAACTAAAGCTGGAAAAGCTCGAAGTGGAACGGGAGAGAGAAAGAAGAAGAGCAGCCAGGGAAATGGAAAGATTGGAATCTCAATTGAGAGAGGAGAGAGCCAAACAAAAACGCGAAGAACAAAGACGGAAACAGAGGGAACAAGAAAGACGGTTAGAAGAATTAGAGGAGGAGAGGGAACGCCAAGAACGTCGTAGAGAACGGCTGCGCCGGCAGGCGGAGTATCGTCGGGAACAACTATCCACACAGTCCAATGGATGGGGCTGCACTGTTATGTAGCAGAAGAAATAACACTTTTGGATTTATAAGTGTGTGTGTGATGCAAAACAAATAAATATAACGAAATATTCTATAAAGCAATTATTTGGCTAAATTTAAATGCTTCTTTAACATTTACACGTTATAATAAGTTCAATTATGAAAAATATGTATCTCTATTTTTTAAATATGTATCACATTCTAGTATACCGGATTTTACTGACTCCAAAAGTAAAGATATATGAAAATCAATTGTGAATTTCGTGTGTCTACCATGATTAGTTCTCTATTCATTGAACATATTTCATGAAATAGAATGCTTAATCTAATAAGATTCCTTTAAATTCAATTTGATATCATAAATAAACAAGATCTTACAATATTAGTGATCTATATTTACAACGTCTAAGGCACAACGGAAATCTAATACAAAGTGGATGTAGATGGTAAAGCCCACCTTTTTCTTATCTTTATGCTAAAAATCTTAATACTCAAATCCACATATATTCTTGCATATGAGGTATAAGAAAACGTGAAAATTTCTTTGGATGCAAATAAACAATGTCCAAACAATATCGGATTTGAAAACTGTGGTGATACCTTAAAAATATCTTTTTGACAACCGTTCCTTCGAGGTCTTGATTTGAACAAATCTGAATTTATACTATTTAATGAAGGTTTAATATATTTTTTTTCTTTTCAGCTTTCCTGGCCAAACTGGTTCTTGAGAAGATGAATTTTAAAAGATCACTCCAAATTTTCATTCATTTAATTCTTGAAAGAAGGCGGAGCCCTTCGTTTGAACAGTCTTGAATTCACTTAATACAGCTTTATGGAATTTTTAGTCCATTACGTTTTGATATGTAACTTGAACCTTTTATTGAAAGTGATAATTTTGATATTTTAGGATCTGACAAAACTATTTTCAAAAATACATTGAATGACATACATTTCTTGTAACTTAAAGAGATTACAATCAAATACATGTATATGGAGCTGAAAATACCCCATTATACAATCGGCAAAAATATTCTAAAACAACTAAAAAAAGTTATATATTATTGTATTTATATTTTATTTTTCATCTGCAGTATAACAGTTACAATACATAAATGATCCCATACCAACAAGGGTTACATAAAAACACAGCTTTAACTATCTAGTATGAGTTCCGAATAATCATCCATTGGCCACTCATGATCATTACATGTTCTTTTCAGACTCAGGTTTTCCTAAATTTCAATTTATTGATTAATCCTAATCCTGCTTTATATATTTTTTTCATTACTTTTTCAAGTATATTATCTCCACTTTCAATCTCACTTCGAACTCTTTCTCTGATGTGTCGGTGAAGTCTTTTGCTATCCGAACCATGGGGATACATACTTCCGAAACCGTCCTTCGTCATTTTTTCATCCATTTCCTGTCTGACTTCTTTTAGAATTTTTCTGGTCACTAGAATTCCTGGTGGTATTAATTTCCAGTACTCTTCTCCGTCAGAAATGCGGGGATTAACTGCGATTGATGAATGATCCATTGGCATCTGCAAAGAGTCGTGTCTTCTCACATTGTCTGTGGTATGCTCGTTCAGTTGATTTTCCATCCGGGCTAGTTTGACGACCAATTCTTCCTCCCTCTTCTTAAGAATTGAAATCTCCTCCATCCTTTCCTCATACATAGCTTTCAGTTTCCTTTCACGTTTCCTAATGGACGACTCAAACTTATTAAATATAGCACTTGTGTAGTATTCTCCTCCATTTTTCTTCACCATTTCTTTTATCATTCTCAGTAGATCATCTACCTGTTTTTCTAACTTTTCAGTCTCCTTTTCTGTGTTATCTATGGCAAAAAATCGATCTTGACAACCCCTTATTATTTCTTGTAAAGGTTGTGGAGCCTCCTTTAATATGTCTTCTATAGATTTTCGCCCACGGTCCAGGTCGTCTTTTCTTGTGAAAACAATGATCAAGTATCCCATCATGTTCGGGCCGAAGGCTTTTTTTAACAATTTAATTGTTTCTCTTTCTTCCTTGGTAAAACGCCCAATCCCAATGACAAGAAGGATAGCATGGGGTCCTGGAGCGCTCATCCCTACGCATTTCAAAATCTCTTTAATTATGTCATCATTTGTCATTCCTGGAAAATTGAATTTCAATTATTTTTATTTTCATAAACAACTAATATTGAAGTTTTACTTACATGTCTAACATTGAAAAATGTGTAACAACTCTCTCTGAAATTTTAATTTACTCATCGTAAAATGTACTGTTATTTATCAAATCTAAAAAATATTCTAGGGTATATTTAAGAAATCCTTTTTCTAAGAAGTCCACGATAAAATTGACACATAAATTATAGATTCACGGTTGAATAGTTAAGCCTATACCTGTTTATTGCAATACAGACATATAAAGACCCAAAAACAAATTAAATGGTTTAACCTGTGTCAAAAAGACCAGGCGTGTCTACGACTAGTATATCGTCGCCAAACCTTCGGGCTGACCCTTTCCTACAACTATTTGTAACGCTTGAATTGGATACATCAGATACAAACATTCTTTTGCCCAAAATTGTATTTCCTGTGGCACTCTTCCCCGATCCGGTTTTCCCAACAAGTATTATCCGTAATTCCTGTCTTAAAAAGCTTCCGTCTGCAAAGGGAATAGATAAAGGAAAGCTTTATATAGGACAAAAATAATTTACTTAACGATATTTCAGTAATAGTTGCAAAGACAAACTATTAGAATACGTCTTTTCTAAAATCTAAAATACTCAAAAGTATGAAGAGCATTTGACATATTATTGAACCATTTTGATTTTTGTCTAAAACATAGTTTATGAAAGTGATAAGAATATGTATGGTACATTTTTTTGATACTGAATTTTATACCTTCGAATGTTGCATCGAGCCCGTGATCAAATGAACATCCAGTAGTTTGATTAACAGGAGGAGTCGGCGTGTTTTCTTTACAAACAGAGAGTGGGTATATGATGGTAGAAGTTTTATCTTCCGTCGCTTTGAGTATGTTGAGTCCACAAATATTACAAGAGGTCCTGTTTGGTTTGTTTAGAAACGTACAGTTCGTGCACTGCCACTGATCTTTGTTTAAAATAATATAAATTATTATTTAACATGTTTAATTTGAAACGATAAAACTGTTTATGTTATCCTCTAAAAATTGTTTGTTTGCCCCCTCCCGACCGATTGTCTTAAGAAGCCCTGACTCAAAACTTTTTTAATCTGTGGGAAACTATATTTTTTCTTCTTTTTATCCCTAGATACTGTATGTGTCCTTAAAAAGAGTGATTTATATTTTAGCGGCATTGGTGCGGACAGAGATCCTGTTATTCATAAATACCGCTATGAAATTATATATATGAGTACAATATTCAGCGCATAAGTATAAAAGGCTAGTTTATGAATATCTTAACAACTCAATAGCAATTGAATGTGCAAATTTTGATTACGCGTACAGTATTCCGATTCTGTAAATATGTATGCTGAATTGTTTTAGTTTTTAAAATAAAATCTTTTGCGCCTTCCTATACCAACCTAATTTTCTTTACTCTGAGTAGAGAGACGGCAAACAAACATGCTTTTAAAAATGGACTTAACAACAGTCATAGAAAAGCATGTTTACTGTATAGCTGTCTCAATAAAAACTACATTCCTATCAATAAGATCTGAATTAGGTATGATTAGGGCGTCAAAGTGATGTGACATGCATATATAGTGTTAGGGTTGTGTAAGATGATATACATATTAAGCTAATTAAAATATATATGGAGATAACGAACAGTGTTCAAGCTCAAAAGCCATTTAAAATATACAAATTTTGGAGCAGAGTAAACATGCATGGACCTCCAAAATATCAGAGGTTGATCAGGTGTCATGGAAGAGTGAGCATCCCCTGCCGACCGGTCATACCCACTGTGTGTTGCTTGGCATGATCAGCAAATAACTGAAAATCTATCGCAAATTAATTCTGCAAATAATGGCCAAACAATAAGTATCAAAATAGTCATGCAATTATGAGGGGAATGTTTCTTTGCTGTGTTTTATTTGCGTTATTTAAAAGTGATAAGAACTATATTTTCAACCTTTCGGGCCATTGTCCTCCTCATAGTATAATGAAGCTCCTGCGGAGTAATTTGTTGGGTTGTTCTGATAAGTTGGATTGAATGTAGTGGCTACGTCAGAAGTAGAGAGGGAGGTAACCATGGCAGACAATTTTTCTTCTGTAAAACTGAATTTACAAATCCCGCTAGAGATCTTCTTTTGTGTGCTCAAAAACTCAGACTTCTTGGTACACTTTTTTTCTTTTTCTGTTTAAAATGAATAAAAGCAGAACTACATGTATTATCCACTAAGAAAAAGTGTAGATAAACTTCAATGACATGTTTTTAAACATGTGTCAATATTATAATTTATTAAATAATTACTAGAATGTAAATGTTGCTGGTAATGCAAGAAATATACTAAATACGAGCTCATTTTAGCGGATGAAAAATAATGTCAAACTTATATTTATAGCTCCGTTTCTAAAGAGGAAATTCTTCAAAATCATATGTCAGTTTTTAATATTTTTGATATTCCTAGCAACCAGAATGAATCGGAATTACCATATCTATATTCAATACAGATATGGTAATTCAAATTCAATCTGGTTGCTAGGGATATAAAAATATCAAATACTGACAAATGATTTTGAAGAATTTCTTCTTAAGAAAGGGAGCTATGTTTGGATTCCAAAACTTCATAAAAATTCTTTCAAAAGAAAGATACATAGTGGGTTCCAGTAAATGGTTCTCCACGCCACTTTCACTATGAAGGATATGGAGATAACGAACAGTATTCAATATCAATTATCAAAGTCCATAAAACAATAGAAAATAGGAGCAGAGCAAACACGGATCGACCTCCAAAACATCAGAGGTGGGATCAGGTGCCATGGATGAGTGAGCATCTGCTGCCGACCGGTAAAACCTACAGTGTGCTCCTTGTCATGATCGTGGAAATAACGGAAAAACCCGTCGTTTCTGACAAGCTCTTCGTATCTATCAAAGAACTCACTAAAATATTAAAGGTATAGTAAAGGGAAAAATTCATTAGTACTGTGCAATAATATATTCGAGAGGTGTAAATCAGATGTGGATACTTAAAACATCCAAGGAATTTTCGGAAATTTTGAAATCACAACAATTTACAAAATCAAAAGCTTTAAAACCTACGACTTTTCAACCTTAAACACAACATATTTTCAAGGGTAAATTAAAATGCAAGCTTTTTGATATCATTGATATCTGCTTTTTCAATTAAAATAAAAAGGAACTTGTATATTTATACACCTTTTCTTTGGTCTTTTGCAGAATAATTTTGTTAAAAACATTCTGATTATACGTATGAGAACTTTGAAGTTGACATCAAAAAGATGCTTAAGTTTCTGATTGTTAATATGTGATTTTGAGAACAGGTCATATCTCATATATTCATGAAAATACTAGTACTTTCTCTATTTAAGTTTTACTGTACTTAGAATTTATGTGTTTTACGTTATTTCAAATTGATTGAAATTTTTCGTCACGTCAAATTTGTAAATAGCATTAGGGTACAGCATAGGCATCGGAACCGGGTGAGGACCTTTTCTGCAAAGATAGAAATAATAAATGCATAAAATATTGGGGCTTACCTCTTTTATATAAAGCTCCCCTCTCACTTCCAATTCCCATTTCAATTTGCTAATCCACGCCTTAGTAAAGAAAGGATGAAGGATTGAACTGTGAGACCAACCCGTCTTCTCGTTCTTGATTTGGATAAATTAATTCATAGGTTTTCGAAAGATATATAACCAATTAATGCTTTATAATATTAGTCTAGAATATTTGCTTTATACGTATTTCAAATGTGTCAAGTGTCTTCCTTGTAAAAAGTGTTGATATACACAGTACACTCTAATTGAACTTTGAAATGAAATCTATGGAAGTAACTAACAGAATGCATGCTCAAAAGTCCATTAAACAATACAGAAAGGAGCAGGGGAAATACGGTCATCCAAAACATCAGAAAAGGGACCAGGTGCTGTGGAGGAGAGAGCATCCCTCGCCGACTGGGCACGCCTGCTATGTTCTTCTTGTCATGATCGGGAAAACGGGAAATTTCGTCGACAATTCAGTGCTTATCATCGTTGCAAACCACGGCCAACATAAACAATCATTTACCATGCTGGCCGTGGTTGTAAAACTGCAGCCCTTCTCCGATATATGATAACATCTCTATATGAGTGAAAAGTTCTCAAATGGGATATAAAACAACAATACAATCTATCAAATGATCAAACCATTTATATAAACATTACTTTTTTTACCTGTTGGTCTTTTGTTAGGCAACTGCTCCAATGAACGTCTGGAGGTATGAGGAGGTGGGACCCAGGTAGCAGGGGGAGAATCAGCCGGCAGAGAATCATCCTCAGAGTCAAAGGAAAAGAGGGGGGAAGAAACGGGCGATAAGTTATCTTCTGTAAAATGAAAAAAAGATGAAGATCATTTCCAAGATATTTTTAAGTGGACCAAACCCAAAGTCAAGGGCAAAGAGTTAAGATAAGATAATATTTATTTAAAGTCGGGTATATCAACAAAGAACATTAGCTCTGAAGAGCTATTTTCCGACTACATAATAATGTTACATAAAATACAACAATCATACGAAATAAACAAGAAACAAAAATAAAAATTGATGGTACTCAGGGGAAAGTTTTGTCAAAAGAAAAGACGTCCAGAATATAAAGACCCTGGCACCTGTTCAAAAGTTATAACCCAAGTTAAAGTTTTTCAAAACTTGGTCAAATTTAAAGGTCAAGGTCAAAGTTTTTGAAACCCAAATCTAGGTCTTGTCAAAATATTTGTTACTGTGTAATATGAAAACCGTAATACTAACTTTAAAGTTTACATACAGTCATGTTAAAGCTTTTCATAGTGAGTCAATCTCTAAGAAAAATGCCAAAAGGACAAAAATATGTAAACCCAAAGAAAAGTCTTGTCACAAGTAATACGCATTTAGAGTATGAAAACCGTAGCACCACCTATTCAAAACATGTGACCAAACCTATGGATTGGTATATTTCTACACGAGTTCTACTCTAGAGGAAGGCAATGTCAAAAGGTAAAATGTGTTTGTACACTATGAAAGATCGTCACAAGAAACATACATGTGGAATGTGAAATACATAACTCAATGTTAAAAACTTATTGAGACAGGTATGTTACAACGCACTTTGAAAAATTACACACACTTAAAAATATCTAAAAGTGCGTTAAATTTGGGAGCAATCTAACACACTTTGAAAAAAATGAAATTTTTCTTCAAAGTGCGTGAATTTGACCATGTTTTGAAAAAAAATTGTATAGCTTTATTAATATAATTTATTCTTACAATTTTTCGGTATGATAAATAATTGATAACGTTTTGTGATAAGGTCACTTGAGGACCTGAGACATGACGTTTTAAATATTTTAGGTTTCGATAAATATTATAGAAAAATGGGTCTTTTAGAAAAAAAATGGAAAGGTGATTGTTTAATATCATTATTTCGTTTCTTTCTTAAAATCCTAGTCTGTAATAAGTTTGGTAGATGTAAGAATGGAGGTACGGAAGCGTATTTGTGCCAGGCAATATTTTTTTTAAAGTTGGTAATTCCAACTTTTAACTTGGCTTTTCCAAATTAAGGACAGACTAGACGTTCCTTAATAATAGATAAATTTTTCTAAGAGTTTGTCATTGAAGTTTTGTTACTTAAACATGCTTAATCAAAAAAAAAAATTAAGGTATTTTACCAGGCATTTCTGCAAGATAACAGGGTTATTTTTTCTTCTATAATCCTTTGGGGAAGAAAAATAATTTTCCAGTTTCAAATGTTTAAGTGTTTGGACGTTCCTTAATAATAGATAAATTTTTCTAAGAGTTTGTCATTGAAGTTTTGCTACTTAAACATGCTTACTCAAAAAAAAATTATTATCTTACCTGGCATTTCTGCAAGATAACAGGGTTATTTTTTCTTCTATAATCCTTTGGGGAAGAAAAATAATTTTCCAGTTTCAAAAGTTTAAGTGTTTGGATTTTTTAAAAACGTAAAGAAACTGGTTTAATAATCAGAATGTTATTGAAATTTTGAATATTTTCCATACATTACGAAGATATGCAAAACAGATTTTGAGGAACGTCTCCTCGGTTAGTAATTCCTACATTAATCTTGGTAATTCCTACTTTTATCTTGTTAATTCCAACTTTAAAGTTAGTAATTCAAACTTTAATGTTAGTAATTTAAGCTTTATAGTTAGTGATTCAGACTTTAAAGTTAGTAATTCAAACTTCAAAGTTGGTAATTCCAACTTTAATCTTGGTAATTCTAACTTTAAAGTTGGTAATTCCAACTTTAAAATTAGTAATTTCAACTTTAAAGTTGGTAATTTCAACTTTAAAGTCGGTAATTCCAACTTTAATCTTGGCTTTTGCAACTTTAAAGTTGGTAATTCCAACTGTAATCATGTCTTTTCCAACTTTAATTTGAGACCCCCTCTTTCTTTTGCTTTTCCCTTTTATTTTAAACCATTTCCAACTTTAAAAATGTAAATATAATACAGTGGAATAGACTTGTTATTAATAAATTTTTGCACCTAGATGGGGGAGGGGGTGTTGCAGAAAAAAGGATCTCAAAGAAGGGCAAACGGGCCCATATGGAGTTATGGTATAAAACTTAAGTTATGCTTAATAAAGTTAATATAGACAAGTACATTGAAATAAATTGGTGAGCACTTTTTATCTGTGTAGGTTTATTTTTACCCTAACCTGCTATGACCTTACATATAACTTCCAACTTTTAATTAGAAATTCATATATTTCTTTTTGGTCCTCTTATATAATTACGAGTTTAGTGTCAAATTTTAATTAATTAAAAATAAATGTATGTGATGGCTACTGTAGGATCCTATTTTATGTTAATATCAATTTCTTAAGTTATATTGAATAATAAAATGCTTTCTTTTGTTGATAGTACTACTGTTGCAGGGCATAATCCTCGTATAAAGAGACTTTCAGTCATCTCCATACATGACAGAATTTCAACCTTACATATTTACTGTAAGAGATCGGACATTTATGAAGCTTTAAAAAAAGAGACCGTATCAATTCTGTATATGGAACATGATATTTTCAGTTTGGGGCCCTATCATAAACCAACTACCATATATAACAACTTATTGTATTATGAAGGGGGATCAGCACACCCCCATGCAACCCCTCCGGCTCCTACGGCCATGCACAATAAAATGATTCATTCTAAAATAATTATTTCATAATAAACATGTAATTGTATCTTTCCATTTTAATTACATGTATAAAACGGTAACATGATCTCAGAAAATATAATACCTAAAGCCGAAAAAAGTTGGAAAAGCCAAGATTAAAGTTGGAATTACAACAATAAAGTTGGGATTACCAAGATTAAAGTTGGAATTACCAACTTTAAAATTGGAATTTCCAACTTTAAAATTGGTAATTCCAACTTTAATCTTGGCTTTTTCAACATTTTGGAAACTTGAAACTTAAACTTGGAATTACAAACTTTAAAGTTGGAATTACCGACTTTAAAGTTGGAATTTCAAGCTTAAAAAAGATATTGATTGGCACTAGTATGCTTCTGTAACGACTTAAGGTAGGATTCTTCTCACACAAAACTGTATGTCTTGTATTTAAAAATTAATGAACTTTTCACCGAATCAAGAGAAGACAATATTACTACATGTAAGTTGTTGTATCCGTTAGAGTAGTTTTGACCGTTTTATATTAGAGTCAAGGTCAGGTCAAGGTCATTGCCATTTCCCGGCATATTAACAATAAAAATGACTGCATCCAATCATGCATGCGATAGGGTATTCTATTTCAAAAGATTAAATGTTTTTCTTTTTGCATAAAAATATTACCATATAGGGTCTATAAGATGATATTACCAAATTGACAAATTGTTTAACAAAAAGGGATTCTGGCTAATCCGAATTTTCTCTATTTTTCTGATTTTTTTAGATATTTAAATTAATTTTATATACGTACTATATTTAAATTTTTTTTTATAATTTCACATATGGTAAAGAAGTCATATAGAAATGCAAATTGATACAAAAACAAAATGTTTTGACCGTTTACTAAGAGACTAAAACACATTCTACGGATTTTTTGGCTCATATCTGTACTTAGATTAAAAGCTTTTAAAAGCTAACATGGTTGTATTTTGTTTGGAAAATTAATTTGATATATTTTAAAATTGTAGTCCTTATCAATAATTTAGCTAACATTTGAAAAATTCTTACAGTCTTTGATTGTGTAAAAATTATAACTAAATTAGTTGTTCTATAATAATTTTGAGATGCAGAAAAGAAAATATTTTCATACGTCACCATTCCGCCAAAAATATAGTACCTGCTAGATTTCGAACACAATTTACCATTTCTATTTAAAATTGTACAATTGTTATGAGGAAAGAAAAATATGGTTATTTAAATCTCTTTCACCTAAATACTGTTGAAGTACTTTTTCCGCGTGGTATTAATTTAAACTGTGTATGCGGTCACAAATTTTCCGCGGAAATTTGTACAAGCGTACTTAATGTAAGTGTAAGGCATATGGTGACAGTCTAAGAAATCTGCGTAATATTCTACCCGCAGATTAAACAGAAATTCAGATTTCGCGGAATTATGACCCCGTAGAAAAAAAGTACGTCTACAGTATATAAGACATATAAGCAAATATACATTGAATATTTCATCTACTCAGAAACCAGAGAAGGGTCGATCCTACCTTAAAGCATCGCATTTTCGTAAGAAAAAAAGGGGCGATTTGATTTTTCAATACTATGACCATTCTTTTTCTCATATAGGTTTAATATTGTACTTAAAAATTCCTAGTTTTCATCAATATGTTTTCAACATCATATCAGTTCTGTAAATACATATATATGTATGGATGTAGCATATATATGCATCGGAACTGGGCGAAGGGCAAGGGGAGGGGGGCTGAGTCCCCAGGTTTTTTTTTTTAAAGATATACATCATATAGGCATTGAAAATGCAGCTTACCCTTTTGGGGGGTTTATTACTTCCCTTGCCTCGTTTAATTTGCCACCATTGCCTACGTATTGGCCTGGAAAATGACAGATTTGGGCTGAGAGACCTTCTACCTGTTCTCTCCTCTTCTCGACGGGATTAAATCAATTCATAAAATTCGAAAAAATAAATAACAAATCAATTCATTCCATTACTTAAAGTCCAGAATTTTTGTTTATACATATTTTTTTTCAAAGTGCGTTAAGAGTCTCAATGGTAAAAAATGTAGATGAAAACTCTTAACACACTTTGAAAAATTGTTCCAAAGTGCGTTGAGTTGATCCCAAATTTAACGCACTTTGAGAAAAAATTTTCAAAGTCCGTTGATTTTGTCCCAATTTTAACATACTTTGAAAAAAAAATTTCAAAGTTTGTAATTTTTTCAAAGTGCCTTACCACACAGGTCCATTCTTTGGAAAACATTTTTTTTTATCTCTGGATATGGAGTTTGATGTTCATTTAAGAAACGTTAACCTTCGCAAAAAAAAACTGCCATATAGGGCCGTCAGTGTTTTATAAACATATTTTTGGAAAGGTTAAAAATTGTAAATATGTTTAAAAGAGAAGATACTGTTATTTGTACTTACCAGTTCCTGGAGGGACCTGTTCCAATAATAGAGGCCATTCCCTTACCGAATCTTCCTCCAAATCATACGCTGCTCGTGCACCTAGGAATAAGATTCGTGTACAAAGCAGTCTCCATACATGTATGATCAAAACAGTCAAAGTCATTTACAAATTAAAAAGGAAAAATCGCCACTCCGCTAGTGAAAATTTAATATTATTATAAAAATAAAACGAAAATAAACCTTTTGAAAATAAGTGAAACTGTCAAATGTTTCTACATTATTAAAAAGAAAGCTCAGTAAAAGAATTTTACCTTTCGAAGGGTATCTAAAAGCATTTGGGTTTGCACTTTTCTTCATAACAAAGACGTTTCAAGATGTTTCCAGAAGAGTTGTTAATATTTGCTTTACATCCAATTGTTGATATTTGCTCTAATTCCATGTAGAGACCGTTTTGTTGTATAAAAATAGCATACAAGGAAATCGTGTATTTTTTTTCCCAAAATAGTGTCTCTCACTGATATCGGCTAGATTGGTGTACAATGTACATTTACAAGGAAAGGAAACCATTTTTGGCCTTGGCGACATTTGTAGATAAAATATCGGATGTTCTAGGTCATTACGTCACTTCTGGTGACTATTACTGACTTCAGTGTAATTTTAGTTTGGATTTTTTCTTCTTGTATTTGTTTGCTTTGATTTATTTGTATTGTTTTTGTTTTTTCTTGGGGGGAGGGGGTCAGATTTATTTTAGAAGATTATTCATTTTTATTTATTTTTTTTTTTGTTTCTTTTAAATTTTAAATATTTCAAACACCTTGTACGTGTTATTGAATAAAACCTTTTAACTACATTCAAAGATAGTTATAATTGCTATAATTGATTGATTGTTTAATACTAAACGTTCCTCTCGAGAATCTTTCACTCATATGGTGACACCACCACCTTCTGGTGGAGAGCTACAAATTTTGTTAAATATTCGGCACCCGGGCCACTGAGCAGTTAGCCTGGTGATCTTTTTCGTGCCAGCACCAACTGCGACACAGGACCTCGCTTTATATACAGTATATATGGTCTCATCCGAAGAACCAGTCTCCACGTTCCACAATGGGATTCGAATCCGCGACGTAAAACCTCTGTCACACCGGGGCTGCGTCCTCACGGCGACTGCACGGCGTCCTCAAAAAATGCAAAACGCCGAAGTGATCGCAGTAGAGTCTCCTACAGCGCCGTGACAACGCGACGAGATCTCCACTGAACGCCGGGGGACGGCGATCAATTTGGGCATGCACAAAGTACGCGCGGTGTGATAAGAACGCAGTAGAAACGTATATAGTATGATCGCCGTAGCAGCACAGTGAGATCTCCAACAACGTAGCGGGAGCTCCGTACGAACGCCTTGAAGACGCACATGATCGCGGCACGCACGCAGTGATAGTAGATTGCGCTTCCACGGAGATGTCGCAGAATCCTTGGAGATGTCACTGCATTTCTATCTCGTTTTTACGGCGCTTCCAATGAGATTTATCGTCTTGTGATTTTTTCAACTGCGATTACACGGCGACAACATGGAGTTGTCACTGTGATCATTGCGCTCCAATGGCGTTTCTACAGCATCCGTTTGCGATCACATTGCGCTTTCACGGCGTTGTTAGAACGTTGTCAGCCAGCTCACAAAACAAGAGCAAAGGGATCATATTTGATCAGCAATAATTCCAACGTATTTTTTTCACTAGGAGCATTTAAGTGACAAAAATGGAAGAGAAAATTACACCAGAACTTGTTCTGTTGTTTCACTTAAATTTTGTAGAAAGCTTTTCAGTGTGTGTTTTTTTTAAATTCATAATAAAATCAAAGAAAATCTAACCACACATCTGAGCCGATAAAATTGAAAAAAAGGAGTTTAATCATAAAACAATTAAATATTAATAATTTAGTACTAAATTATTTAACTAGAGCATTTTTAATAATTAAGAATATTTTTTGGCATGATTAGAAGTCTTTTCATCGTGTAACTTGAATTTTTAAACAAAAATGTTTTACATTCCTTCTGAATATATATCAATGAGTATAGAACGCATTGATAACGTATTGTGAACGCAGCCAGCGCAGTGATAACGCCGTGAACACGAGGTGAAAACTCCGCGAAAGCGCAGTCAATCGCCGAGAAATCTCCGTGGGAACGCAGTAGAACGCCGTGAGATCGCCGTAGAATCGCATCCGTCGCCATAGGGACGCCGTGACATCTTCATATTGTGAAAATTTTACAGAAATTTGTGCAGTTTTCCTGGGATTCCACGGAGATTTTAAAAATTTAACAACGCCGTAATGATTATGTGTGAACGCAGCTTGGTGTGACAGAGCCTTTATGATTGACTCCTTACTTCGCAACTATTGATTTTCAGATAGGTACAATTGATTTGAAGGTAAAAAAAAATTGAGGATAGGTACAAATATTTCAATAATTTGGCGTTCCATAGTCAATAGAGGATGCTTACTGCTCCATAGAGGCAGCAAAGACAAAGCATTGGTCAAGAAATTGATCAAATTGATCAAAGAGGAATGTCTACAGTGATAGTGGTAGGAAAAAAAATCAAAAAAGTTTCAAAATGTCACTGAACAATGGTACTGAGAGGTTTCAAAGTTTTAAAAGGAATAAATTGGACAACTTCATCACAACTCTCAAATACACTAATATTTTGTCAAATCAATTCATTAAACAGACATTTTCAAATAAGATACATTAAAACTGTTTATCCATAATGAGAGATTCAGTTTACCAATACCACGGTCAGAATACGTTGGGACTTGGAAAAAAAAAAACTATTTAAAAAAAACTTCATGTTTACATACTGCATGTTCAGAGGCCTGTTCAATAGAGTGCTCGCATTTCTTTTAAACAGGGAATTCGTAAGTGCTATTGTCGATACAAATGACCATGTCAGCAAATACAGTTTATCATTTAATCAAATGCTGACTGACTTTTTTCATACTAATTGTTAGGCAATTATTTACACACAGGTTTATCGACGGATTTTTCCCGATCATGACAATGAGCACATGGTAGGTGTGACCCATCGGCAGGGGATGCTCACTCCTCCATAGCACCTGATCCCACCACTGATGTTTTGGAGGTCCGTGATTCCTATTTAGTATTTTTATAGATCATTTAATTTTTGGTCTTGAATACTGTTCGTTATATCCTTTAATTTCATTCATGAGTGCCAGCGTTACTGTACACTCTTCTGATCTTGAACGTTCATTAGTTCCTGCTTGTATGATAAAGTGACGCATTCTATATATAAAAAGATATTTTATTTGTTTAGAAATCTCTCATACATATATATATTAATTCACTTATACCACTCCGTTGTCATAACTCTTCCTTTGGTTCTGTTGATTCTGTGGGGTTTTCATCTTCCTTCTCATTTGACGTTTCTTCTGAAATAAATGTCAATACACTTCATCAAAATATAAACTTTAACACATTATCCAATATTTCTTAATATTATACTCATTGTCCGAAACAATTGGTATTTATAAGCTTAATATGGAAAAGTCTGCCCCATGTATACTGTACAAGCATCCTCTTTATACGCATGCATATTACATTTTTTTCAAAATCTTTGAATGCATTATCATCACTATTTCCATGATGTATAAAATGACCATTCATTTTCAACTTTATACATGTTTTGACTTAAAAAGATATCTTCAGTTTGCATTTTTGTTTTGCTACATCTAAAGTACACAGCGTAAAAGAGCAGAATGTTTCCAAAAGAGTGTACCTGTTTTTTTTTTGTTTTTTTTAATTCTTATGAAGATGATTTTTTTTTCTAAAAACCTCTACAGGAGAAACAACACAAGCCTTCAATTCGACACTCAGCTATACTGACAATATTTTATTCCTTATTTACAATAGATACTTTCTTTCATATGTTGACTAGATACCAGTATATGTCAGTGAGCTTTTAATAACAGACACCACAGAGTCTGCCACATTTGTAACATAATTTCGATGTTTTTCTGACCAAGGGCGATAAAGACCAACTTACAACTAAATTATATGACAAACAAGATGACTACAGTTTTTACGTAATATGTAACTTTCCTTATTTGTGTAGTTATATACCACTATAACTTGCTAATATGTGGTAAGTATGTCTCCCAACTTATTTGCTACTCGAGAGCTTACTCTGAGTATGTTGAATTTTTAAAGCAAACATGCTACTCACTGATAAGTTGATGATACAGAGATTTCAACAATTTTGCGTAAAGACAACATTTTGTACATTTAATGGTCGCCATATTTACCTTGCTGTAAAGTACAAAGTATCATTGGGACGTACTTTGGTTGACTTGTTTCATACCAATTGTTAGACCTTATTTAATACTGAATTCCTAGGGCTCACTTAAGCATTGAATTCATATTTTGGGATGTCTTCGGTCCTATAACACATCTGGCCATGCCGACAAATTGAATATCGCGCGTTAGCGCGGTATGATAATTTGTCCGCACGGCCAGGTGTGTTATAGGACCGAAGACATCCCAAAATATGAATTCAATGCTTATATTTACATTCTTTATTTTTCCTTTATCATAATTGTTTATTTCGTTCATGTTTAATGTGAATTTATTGCCCTTCGGTATTTGTGTGCTTAATAAACGTAATGGCCGTTCGTGACGTTGGAAAGCCGTTTGTGACGTTGGAAAGTAAAATAACGCAAATAATCATTGCAAGGAAAAAAATGACAACTTAATTTTTAATGCACATTTGTTGCGATTTTATGTTTATTTTAAAAGGGTAGTTTTATTTAAATGAAATTGAGTCAAAACAATATACATTTTGTTGTTCCTAAATATTGAAAATGCATGTAGTTCCTACTGTGTATTATAACGCGTGGTGACAAGGTTTCGCGTGTGTTATAGAAATTTGAACGTCGTGGATTTCTGATGGATTTCATAAAGAAAATTACACTGAATGTAACTATAGTGGGTTTGATCTGTCAACAGAGGATGCTTACTCTTCTTAGGCACCTAATCCCATTTCTTGAATTTCAAGGTTTTTTTGTATTGTTTATAAACTTCTTTTTATAGATATTTTAAAGAGATTTGTCACTATTTGTTATCTCCAACTTTAACACAGCAGATAATTATATGTCCAAATGAAATTTAAATAGGTCACAATTAAGGTGCTTAATGGCATTTTAAAATTTTGTGAGTCTTTATTCAGTGGTAAAGGAGAACTTGTGAGTAAATGAATTATATAATATAGATTCTGTGAAAGTTTTACAGTTTAATTTAGTGGTATAGGAGGAATTGTGCATAAGAGATTGGCATCTCAAAGTGATGTAGTGAGGAAGTCATCATTACTATAATATATATTTTATCCCCTGTTTTTCCAGCATGGTTAATCAAACTCCAAAATAAGTACACTATTTCCTGGACAAAAAAAAAACAAATATGTTCCAAGTATCTATATTTATATTTATTATGTTTTATTTAAATACATTTATGATCAACTGAATTGATTATCCATATCTGCATGTGAAATATCATTCTTGAAATGCAAGTAAATTATAATCTGAAGAAATCAAAATGTTGCAAATTTAATACTATGAACAATCTCCCAAACATGAATTAACAATCATCATCTAATGAAAAATCTGTATACGATTTATTTTTACATGAACACAGCACATACAAATGAACAGGGTGTACATACACTCGTACACATGTAATAAGAACACAGAAATGAAACTTGAGATCTGTCACATATAAAGTAATATGAAAAACAATATAATATCAGTAACAATCAGGATTTCTCACTTTTAGATGAAAACCATAATAAATACTGGAGATACAACACCGACAATATAAGGATTACTAACACCTCCCCTTTGAAGAACCGACCAATCACAACAAAGATAAGTAAAACCAAGAAAAAGTTTAACATAGAAGCTTTTGTAGCAAAAGTATAAATCTTGGACCATACACTTTTTGATTTTATTTTCTTCTTTTTTGACTTCTTGGGTATATCTGCAAAGACACCAGAAATCTTTCTAAGAAACCAAATGATACTTGAAAAAAAAGCTTTTGAAAGACTCAACAAAACTGATCCAATCATTAACACAACATTAACACAAAATGGTTGGCAGTTTGGGTGGGACAAATCAAATCAACTCTTCATGAACACAAAACATAAAACTCAATGCTTTGGATGGTGGTATTGAATAAAACACGTTTGTACATAACACAAAAGTTCAGACCAAAATAAAATTGGGTTCCTAGTGCTATTATATCTCAAGAATGATAATTCACATGCAACTATGGTAAATAACCTTTGGAAATTAACTTACTTTTAAATGCAAGATTTTATTAAATAAAACACTAATAATTTGTGCATTGTAATACAATGTATTATAAATAAAGAAAAATATGTTAATAATGAGATTTTAAGAAAGAAAAATTACTCCTACCGACCTTTTGGTTTAGGGACACACTTGTCCTCTTGTTCTACATAACCCTCGTTACATGTACAGGAGTAACTCCCTGGGCTGTTTACACACTGTCGGTTTTCTCCAGCACACAGACTGCTATCCTCAACACATTCATCAACATCTGTTTAAAAATTACTGCCATGTAAGTATCCCTGATATGAAAACCTAAGGTTGTGTAAACCTGGTAAATTTTCAGGGTGTATTCTTACCTGTGCAGGTATTGTCTATCAATTTATACCCGTCCGAGCACTCTTTACATTTATCTGGACCGTACTGGGTACAGCCTTTACATGCTGTGTGGCATTCTAAAATGAGAGTTTAAAAAATGTTCACATATATATAAATCAGTTGGCAATTAGTAATTCATTAGATTCTAGCTGAGGGGTAAAAGTTTCCTAGTACTCTTTTGTTAATCCAAGCACTGATCTAGATGGGAGACTCCAGACCCCCTTCAGATTTTCACTTCTTAATTTTTAATAAAAAGTAGCCAAACATGACCTTGGATCCTTCCACAAGGACAAAGGATTACTTATTTAAGTAAGTTGGTTTTTTACTTTAGGACAAGAATCTTTTTTTCATTCTTTTTCTTTTTTATTTATGTAAAATGAAAGCAATAACACTACTTTTATGTTAAATGAAAGCATTTAACAATGTTTTTATACCAAGAAATTAGATTTTCCTTAATCCAAAAAATTACTTATTTAATACACATTTACTAACAGTACTTACTTCCACAATAAAATGATCCCACAGTATTAGAGCAGTATTCATCTTCAGAACAATTAACACTGTCACTGACACACTCATCCACATCTGTAAATACAATGTATAAAGTGTCTTCACATGGAAACAATTCAACATGTCTTCTTATTTCATTCTTAAATGAAGAAATGTAAGCAATGGTACAATGTAATTTGTTTATTTGTATAATTATACCTATACATCCTTCTTCCTCTGATGCCTTCCAGCCTACATTACATTCATCACATCCTTTATCTTACCTATACATCCTTTATCTTACCTATACATCCTTTATCTTACCTATACATCCTTTATCTTACCTATACATCCTTCTTCCTCTGATGCCTTCCAGCCTACATTACATTCATCGCATCCTTTAGGTCCAGCCTCCCAACAAGTAGATTTACAGGACGTATCACAGGCTACAGGAAATAGATGAGTTATTATTGAAAGTTTGAAAAAATTAATATCCTTTTTAAAAAAAATCCAGATTTTTTTAGCAATTAGGCTTTCATAGAAAGAAGCTAAAATTTTGCCTTCAAGGTTGAATTTTAAAGTTTTTCTCTACATTACAACTCGATAATGATTTTTTTTTAAATTAAAAATGTACTCAGTCAAAATCTGTAATATTTCACAATGCATAAAAGTTCATATGATAACATTAGCAAACTATGTGTTTTATGTATAACTTTCATTATGTGTTTGAAACATACAGGCAAGTTCAGCTAAAGTATACTATGAACATTTGTATCCACATATTTGTAAGAAGGCAAAGATTTGCATAGGAAAATATAAATGATAAAATTTAGTATGCTTTACAGAGAAAACACTTTGAAACATACACAGCACATACCTTTACAAAGGGTGTGAGTTTCATTCTTGACTTCCTCATAATGTCCATCAGAACAGCTGTCACACATGTCACCTTGGTAACCAGCATCACAAGAACAGGTGCCCTTCCCACTTCTGGTGCCCGCTCCCTGGAAAATTGTCAAATTCAAATTTGTACTTAGATTTTTTTTAAATTGTTGTATAAAATTTAGTTAAAAATTCAGCAATAAATATTTGCATGCATTACAATATATTTTTCATGTCTTGACAATTTACTCACACATTTGAGGTATAGGAATTAGCATTTAACTGAACCAAATTGCATACACTTTTATCATTGCAATTACAGCTACATGAAGACATAAAACCTCTCACTCATGTCTGGGGTTTTTTTTTCCATACTTTTCATTGCTAAGACATTACTACCACCATGAATACTTACATCACACTTTCCATTTCCTCCACACGGAGACTTGGTCCCCCCAGGACATGATTTACAGTTAGGGCCATATGTGTTCTCTGGACAGCAAACTATAATATACATTTTACAAAAAGTTATATTTATTGAGTTGGCAGGGAGAATTTTTGTTTAATGTCTTTAATGTAAATTTATCCCAGGATGGTAACCATTTAATATCATAACTCAAGTTTTTATAAATGATATTATATTATTATTTTTGTTAATCCATTCAATATAACAGCATATTAATATTATGGATATCATGTGCAGAAATTATCAGATATAACACAAATTTGAAAAATTTACACATAAATCTTTATATCCAGACTGTTTTGTACAGTATGTAAAAATTCAGAGTAAAACTAATTAGTAAATAGCCAGGCAGAGTGAACCAACCAGTGACAGAATATCACTGTTATTTCACTTTACTACGAACCTTTAACATTGTCAATACAGAGCCACAGAAAGAAATCTGGCCCTTTGTCCTTTGCAAAAATGGAATGCCAGAATTTCTCAACTAATTCCTCATGTTCCTCGACAAATGTATGACACTGGAACACAAAAAATAACAGTAACACATGAATAAATGTATGATCCGACATGATCAGGGACAACTCATTAGAAATGAAGTGTTTTGTTCAAAGGAAGATGTACTATTAAAATAATTATGTATTTGGTACATGCACCATAAATAAATCATATACATGTACATATAAAAAAAAAAAAAGGAAATATTTTTTTTTTATCTTTTATAGTTATTCCCATTCGGCAAGCAACATGGAATTCATATTATTTTCTTTTTGTAAACCAATACATAAAAAATACTTTTCTATGCATATTTTATATGTTTATTATATGTTTCAGCATAAAATGCTCCCTTGTTTATTAGTAAAGCAATTAATATTTGCTCAAATTTGTAGCAGAAAAAATACATAACTCAATATGCATTTTGTTCTGCAACAGATGAAATATTAATTACCATACAAAATAAACAAACACAGAATGACGTTCTATATAAAAAGTATCCTAAATATTTTATTATTAATATGTACAATGTGTGCCATATGTTTAAATAATAGAGGAGCTGTTGCTATAAAATCTATATAGGTGTATTATAGATGTGAAATACAGGAGATATAAAAATAAACATGAATACAGGAGCTCAACGACTTTTCTTACTGAAAAATAATATGTTTCTTTTTTTTATACCTGCATCTATTTACTTACTTCTTTTTCACTATTTTCACACAAATTTTCAATGACTTCCACCAATCTTGTTTCACTGAAATATAAATAATAAAACTGCAATAAATTTTCATTAATAACCATGCATTATATCAACAATATAAAATACTCCAAAAGAAAACTTCACTACATTTATATATACTTATAAATATCTATAATTTCAAGCAAATTTATCACTGTTTAATGTATATTATATATTAGATTCTGTGGGATTGTGTTGAAAATTAACTTCAAATAATGCTGTTAATTGCATGTGTATATTATTTATTAGAATCATTATCTCTTATTAAAAAGGATGCAAATTTAAATACATATGCTCTAGCTATTTTTACAGTCTGTTTCTCTTTTTATACATTATTTAGTGTGACAAGTTTTACATATACATGTAATAAAATATAACTGTACCTATATCTGTATTTTCCTAAACTTTTTTCTTCCCACTTTGTATTGCCTCCTCCAAAGTTAGACTTAGCTGTTTTCTTTAATCCCTGCAAAATGAGATTATCGATTCCAAATAAAGCAGCAATATCTTAAAAATTCAAGAAAAACAATATTATACATGTATACAATAACTATTTATCTTACAGGCATTTAAATTATATGAATCTAAAATTGGAACCCTTTGATATTATCAGTGAACATTTTCCATTACCATGATTACTGTGCTATACATTTGTCTTTAATTTCCCTCAAAGATTTAACATGTTTAATATAAATTGTTTAGATAATTTGGTGGTTGGACAATGGATTGATAATTTTGAAGAGTTTGCCGGAACGAAATATTTAGAGGAAGATCCTACCACCTGAGTTTTAGTATTGAATGTTTTTAGTTTGTCATTTGAATACACTTTTAAACATAGGTAATCAGAGATTACAGAGCTCACCTCAACGAATGTTGTCTTTAAGTAAGGCAAAGTCACACAATTAACCAACAAAAAGTATACATTCCAAAAATGAAAATATTTTTAAAAGCAATTTTGATCTGATACTTTGAAATAGACCTACATAAAAAATTTAAACTACTTCATCTTCATGAAAATGTAATGAAAATCCAGCATCTGAAGCAAATTTGGGAGTTTTCATCTCTTGATGCAGCATTTGTGCAAGTTTGGTTTATACAATGTTATATAAGCCTTATAGTTTTTGGTAATAGACCTGCAACCATAACTTTTACCTTGTCTATTATCTGAAAAATGTATGTCCAATTCAGCATCCGAAGCAAGTCCATTAGTGTGCATCCTTAGATGTATCATCCATGCAAGTTTGCTCATTATAGGGCTCATAGTTTATTGGAAATGAAACATGCATCAAAACTAACATTTTCACTCATCCACAAAAAGTACGTCAGATTCAGCATCCGAAGCAAGCCTGGAAGTATGTATCCTTAGATGTATCATCTATGCAAGATTGGTCATTAAAGAACTCATAGTTCCTTGGAAATGAAACCTGCACCAAAAACTTTTAACTATTCACTCAACCGGAAAATGTAGGTCAGCTTCAGCATCCGAAGCAAGCCTGGTAGTGTGCATCCTTAGATGTATCATCCATGCAAGTTTGGTCAACATAGGGCTTAAAGTTACTTGCAAATGAAACCTGCACCAAAAACATTAACCTGTTCGCTCAACTGGAAAATGTAGGTCAGATTCAGCATCCGAAGCAAGCCCGGTAGTATGCATCCTTAGATGTATCATCCATGCAAGTTTGGTCAACATAGGGCTTATAGTTACTTTGAAATGAAACCTGCACCAAAAACTTTAACCTGTTCACTCATCTGGAAAATGTAGGTCAGATTCAGCATCCGAAGCAAGCCCGGTAGTATGCATCCTTAGATGTATCATCCATGCAAGTTTGGTCAACATAGGGCTTATAGTTACTTGGAGATGAAACCTGCACCAAAAACTTTAACCTGTTCACTCAACCGGAAAATGTAGGTCAGATTCAGCATCCGAAACAAGCGCGGTAGTATGCATCCTTAGATGTATCATCCATGCAAGTTTGGTCAACATAGGGCTTATAGTTACTTGGAAATGAAACCTACACCAAAAAACATTAACCTGTTCACTCAACCGGAAAATGAGGTCAGATTCAGCATCCGAAGCAAGCCCGGTAGTATGCATCCTTAGATGTATGATCCATGCAAGTTTGGTCAACATAGGGCTTATAGTTACTTTGAAATGAAACCTGCACCAAAAACTTTAACCTGTTCACTCATCTGGAAAATGTAGGTCAGATTCAGCATCCGAAGCAAGCCCGGTAGTATGCATCCTTAGATGTATCATCCATGCAAGTTTGGTCAACATAGGGCTTATAGTTACTTGGAGATGAAACCTGCACCAAAAACTTTAACCTGTTCACTCAACCGGAAAATGTAGGTCAGATTCAGCATCCGAAACAAGCCCGGTAGTATGCATCCTTAGATGTATCATCCATGCAAGTTTGGTCAACATAGGGCTTATAGTTACTTGGAAATGAAACCTACACCAAAAACTTTAACCTGTTCACTCAACCGGAAAATGAGGTCAGATTCAGCATCCGAAGCAAGCCAGGTAGTATGCATCCTTAGATGTATGATCCATGCAAGTTTGGTCAACATAGGGCTTATAGTTACTTGGAAATGAAACCTGCACCAAAAACTTTAACCTGTTCACTCAACCGGAAAATATAGGTCAAATTCAGCATCCGAAGCAAGCCCCGTAGTATGCATCCTTAGATGTATCATCCATGCAAGTTTGGTCAACATAGGGCTTATAGTTACTTGGAAATGAAACCCATACCAAAAACTGCACCAAAAATGTTAACCTGCTCCAAAAACATTAACCTGGTAATTCCTTTGCTGAAATTGCAGCATCTGAAACTTTGTCTGGTACAATAAAACACACTAAAACCATCTTCCATGCATGTCTAATCAGTATAGGACACAGAAGTAATTAAAAAGAAAACTGCTCCAAAAAACTTAACCTTAACCTGGGACGCCGACGCCGACGCCGACGCCGACGCCGACACCGACGCCGACGCCGACGCCGACGCCGAGGGTATCACATAAGCTCCCCCCAACTTCGTTGAGGTGAGCTAAAAATCCTTCAGAAAAACAATACACTTCTTCGACTTCTACTGGTAAGTGGCCTCCGTTAATTAGCTGACTTTTATGTCACCAGGTGTGTGCATGTTTAAAAAAAATAAAAAATGTAACAATTGTGACAGTCTATTTACAAGTTTTACAAGTCAGTGTTATTTTTTTTTTCACTAAATAACATTAATACATGTCTGCATGCATTATCATGTTAGCAGGTGTTTACCTCGTGAAAATTCTTGTCAACATCCCTGCATATCTCACATCTTGTTTTAGCAGCAAGGGTTCCTGGGATTAACAATAGACAATAGAAAAGTATATAATTTACACTTGTAAGGGAGTGCACGTCCATTATGTCTATGATACACAGAGCCGATCAGCGCCAGCTGATCAGGTGAATTTTCAAAGGCCTGTCACCACAATTAACGTTCGCAACAACTTTCTATCCCTCCTAATCTCTTTTTTCGTCATGAGAGTACTTTCATGTCACTTTTTAAATTGTTTCTTTTACAAGAACACACTAATTTCCATTTACCCCATGTGCATTCGGTGTTTACTTGCCAAATCATCTATTTCATCCAATGAAATTACGACACGATATTTTCCTCTTTCAGGGTGACTAAAACTGAAATGATCTACGGATACGTGTTTCCGGATTGTTGAAAAGGAATAACCTAAGGGCGGATCCGGGAAGGGGAGGGGGGCGGGGGTTATGCCTCCTACTGTTTTCAAAGGGTCCTTTGGGGGGATTTTGAACTTTAGTGATTTTATAAAAGTAAAATTTAACGTTAGCGTTTTAGAATTATCTTATAGAAATAGAATAGAATATGAATAAATTTATTTTTCCAGATCAGGGGCCTGTTTTACAAAAGGACTTACGACTTAAGACCAAATTTAATTCTTCGTATAACTTTTTAATAAACATTATATCGAAAATTATTTTAAATTTTTTAAAAGGAATACGGTATGATATGTTTACACAAACAATTTCAAAAAGAAATATTAATTTTGCAAAGTATTACAATATTAAGAATCTGAAGTCTTTGGTCTTAGTCGTAAGTTCTTTTTAAAAACGGGCCCCAGGGCCTTTTGGGTAGGGCTTGGCAAAAATGTCTACCGTTACTTTGGTATATTGCAATACAATGACAAACAATTTCGTACTGCAATACGTTTTTGTATTATTGATATAACCGGCAAAATACTTAGACTAAGGAAGTTTGTCATTAAATATAAAAATACATAAATTTAAGAAAGGTTTGTTGTGAAGCCAAACACTGCAACAGAAGCTGTTTTATGGAAGTATTTCAGAGCATAACTTAAAAAATATCAATAAATTTTTTTTTTTGGTTACTTATCACATTTATTTACATTCTGCATGTAAATTAGAGTTAATATAATAATAAAATGCCATTTTATTTTCGTAATATTGCAATACATAACGCAACACAGTTATAAATATCGCAATATATTGCAATACGAAATCTCTGGCCAATACCCAGCCCTATTTTTGGCCATAATACATACATAATTATTAAACAGAGCATATGATAATTATTTACAAAATGTGATGCAATGGTACTTAGTATTAAGCATATTCTTAGTACATGCATGTATATACTCAATCTCTACCCAGAGTTATCGTTCCACTTATACAATTGTAGCGAAGCGAACGACAACTCTGGGTAGAGATTGGTATATATTTATTCAAGTTACGCATGCTTCATAAGTTGAGATATAATTGCTAACTTTCTCATTAAAATTCTTCGTGACAAAATTATTTGCTCATTATTGATCATGACACCATCTTTGATATTTCAGCTAGATAAATAATTACCCTTGCTGTGTTTCATCCAACTCACAAGTTGACCTCCACCCCCTCTTTTTCATTTCGTGAGTCATGACACTGATTCCCGAATGTATCTCTTCTCTTTTTGGTACGGTTTTCAATAGGCTTGTGAGTAATTTTAGGAGATATTAACCATAAAAGCAGTCACCTTGACATTCCCCGTGCAAATGCAAGGGACACGGAAAATAATACATGCGCAGTTGAATAAATTATTTTACTGCAAAGCAATTCATAAAATACAAAAAATAAATAGACCCATAGATTGCAGATCTTACAGCCGGATGTGGGATTGCAAACTTCTGAACTTGTTTTCCTTAAACGGCCTTAATATCTATTATTTTATAATACCAGGGTATGACATTTTTAGGAAATCGTTAAATCTGTTATTTTTTGGATTTTTCATATGGAATACGTTGTAAATAAGTACTAGAAACATAGAAACATAATTCAAGACAAAAAAGAAAGAAAAAATATTTTGACCAGGAGTGTACAGTTGGGGGGGGGGTCCTGTCCACAAGTACCTGTGTATTTGAGTGAAAAACAAAGAAAGTTGTGTACAGACACTTCGACTATTTTTCTAAAAAGACACGACATTCTATACCATGCAAGGTTTAATTTGGCTTATAGGCCTATATTTCAAATGTCCGACAATTTACTCTGTTATCAGGACAACTATACATACTCAGAATTATCTGACGAAGATATCCACACACTTTTGTCTATTTATCTGCATGTTCCAGATTCTTGTTTAAATATCAGGTACGTACACTTATCGATTTTATACCTCGTTTATACGTATACATGTCATTGCCTGAATGTATCAATTAAAAAAAAAGGTAACTAACTTTCATGTTAACTGTTGAGATGTTGAATGAAAAAAATCAAGATTAATGCTAACGAGGGATTAGGGCGTAAGGAGGGTTTATAGGACATTTGTACGTCGCCTTGTTATCATGGTAAATACTATACTTACATGTACATACCTTCAAGCCTGACACATGCCGCAAAATATCGTAAACTTGTGACCTGTTTTTGTCATTATGCAATATCAGTTAACTGACCACTAATTTTAGACGTATTTTGGAAAATAAAATTAGATTTTTAAATGCCTGCACCAGATTTAATCAATTATACTAGATTTGAGATTATGTCCGTAAACTTTATCATAACTTTAATTAAAAGTAAGTGTGTATATACATTTATTTTCGAAAAAAGCCATGAAATAGTAAAAAAGAGAGTACGGTGGTGGTTATGGTTGGCGGATCTAACTTTCATTGAGCAATAGTTAAAATAATAATAAAAATGTCGTTATTAAATTATTCAATCAAAATTTGATTTAAGTGTAAAAACAGAGATAAGCTGTGATTACTGATTGAAACATTAAATTTGCAAATCGTTTTTGTTATATATCTGATCTGAGTCTTGATGAAAATTCTGGAATGTCAGATGGCATCGATTTCTAACCTGAGGTTAAAAAGAAAAACAAGAATTACCACTCAATGAATATTTATTTAAATGGAAAAAAACTTTGATGCGAATGGAAATAATGGTAAAGCAACTGATAAACATTTATAAAAATATGACTATATTCACATATTTCATAAATAAATAAATTTTTTTTTTTGACTTTTGAGACCAACACCGTGCGCGACGTCATATATATTTTTATTCGTCCCTTTTCATTATATAAAATATTTTCGCGGCCCTCCATAATACAATGTACCACACCCACTAAAAAGGGGTTTATGACCACCTGCTGCTTAAAGAATTAATTTAAAAGACTCTTTAAATATTGGAAGTCAATATCTTTCGATACGAGATTAGATACTCTTATATCCGTGTAAGCTGGAGCGATGTACAAGCTCAAAATCAAAACTTCTGTATTTAATTATTTATTGTATGTACTTTTCGATAAGAGCAAGGTTGACAGTTTGAATGACAAAGGTCAATACAAAAGTTTTTAATACATGCAGACAGCGATCAACAGATTGTAAAAAGATAAATTACGAGAATTTGTTAACCTTTTATGCAATAAGATAACACCATTCAGTAGTCGAATGGCATCTAGTTTCATTGTCGTACAAATACCCGATATACACTGTTAGATCAGTTTAAATCCCTTTATTTTATTTTATTTCAACAATATAAGCGATTTAAAGATACATGTAATTCATTATTCTTCATTTAGTTGATTTTTTAGTACAGTGGGATCTTTCCATTAAATGCCCCTTGACACGACTATTCTGACCACTCTACTAACATCTGCTCTTCTGGTGCACCTAAAGGCTTTACGGAATGGGGACTGCAACAGTCATGCTGTGTTTTACTCTGAAAAAGGAAAAATTCGACTCTGAAGGTATGGAATAACATAGAAAACTAGGAGGAGACAAAGTGTGAACGACGAATTAGTAAGAATTAACAAATACAACATGAAAGGGAGATGGTAAGGCTTATTAACAAATACAAAGGGAGGGCCTAACAAGTACAACATTTTATGGAAAAGAAGAAGGTTGGGCTTAGCTGCAGATCTGTAGCTCTCCAAAAAAATATATATTGATAGACCGGAGATCTATCAATATATATTTAGGATTCTTCTCATAGAGAAATTTTCACAGAATCTGCATCTAAGTGTAGGGCTAAACCATAGAAAAATGGCTTGACAAGGTAGGACTTAACTAAGACAACATAAATGCAGCATGGAGAAAGTAGGACTTAACTAAGTCATGACAACATGACAGCGAGAAAGCAGGGTTTATCTATGACAACATGCCATGGAGAAGTAAAGGCTTAACTAAGGTGACATGGGAAAACGGCTTTATTTACTAACACAACACGAAATGGAGAATGTACTTTTTAAATCAAACAGCATATGGAGAAAAAAGGGCTTAACTAAGGCGGCATCACAGAAAAAACGTCAGGGAGAAGTTAGAGCAAAACTAAAGGAAAGGCATATCAAAGACAATCTGTCAGTAAAAGGGTTTATCAAGGATAGCATGACAGAGATAACAATGTCTACCTGAACCAAAAAAGACAACAACTAAGGGTGGAAGAAGCGCATAAGAAATATAACTCGTTAGAGAGAAAGTAGAGCTTTACTAGGACAAAGGCAGAGCTTACAAACACAGTAAATCAAAGAGATACGAGTACATGGGATATGAAATCTAAAATGTAATTTGAAGATAAAGAACATTGATTAATCTTTTTAAAAGGAGCACAAAAAGAATATTAGATAGGACAAAACACGGATCCAGGCGGGATCAGGTGCCTAAGATTAATAATCAGTCATACATCACCGACTTATAGTGTTATTATGGGTTTGTGAAGAAACGAAAGCGATAACTTGGACAAATTTACTCCTGATTTAAGAATCTTTTACCAAGATGTGTTTTTGAAACACTATGCACTCAGCGGCAACAAAGTTCGAAAAAGCTAATTTTAGCATATAGGTCACAGTCAAGGTCACACGATCATTCTCCTTGGTATCATTTGAAAGCACTTAATTTTTGGAGTATGGATACCAATTATGAAGTCTTTATCTCCTATGGTTCAAAAGTTATGGCGAGAGTTCGAATAAGCTATTTTAGCATAAAGGGCACAGTCAAGGTCACAGGGTCATTGACCTTGGTGTCAGTTGAAAGTGTTTAATGAGTGGAGTATGCATATCAAATATAAAGTCTCTATCTCTCACAGTTCAAAAGTTATGGCGAAGGTTAAAGTTGACAACAGATAGACAAACAGCTAAACAGACAAACGGACAGACAGGATAAAAACAAAATACGCCCGAATTTATCAATTCGGGCGCATAAAAAAGTTATGAGGAGTTAAAAAAAATTAAGAACATATACTGGAATGCTAAGTACAATAAGAAAGTGTTCATTAATATACGTTCGTTATCTCATTTTATCATTTTAATCAATTTAAAATATATTGTGTCTGTTACAAATATACCCCTTTTTGCTTAAGCACAAGTTGTCAATAACCAGGCATACCAATATTACATTTAGGTGCGGCTTCACAAATCTTTTTTTTACTTTTAAAATTCAGTTGAAATATGAAGTCCAAAATGCCTTTCTTTGTTAGACAATATATTTCCTTTACATTTTTTTTACAATGTATATAGTATCAAATCCAAAAAAAAAAAAAAAAAATTTAGTAATTTTGTCAAGAAAAATGTTAAATTTAAAGCACACATTTCAACTCAAATACTTATTTACAATATATTGTAGGTATACGTACCTGTGTGACTGAGAATGTTTTTTTTTATAACAGAGGCACATGAATTATACCAGTCTATACCAAGTATTTGTTTCGAAGGCACAGCCGAGCTACAAACAGTTTGTGACTGTGGTAACCAAGGTGACAAGGTGATAACTGCAACGTCTGATGATGGCAGGTAAGTGTCTAATAACCATAAGTGTCATCGTCTTCTACTTCTAGACAAAAATCTTTTTCAACTCTGTGGAAAAATTGGAAAACACTAGAGTATATTCATTCTTCAAATGCACTAAAGACGAGGAACTCTTTTTTTGTGTTGTCGTCTCCCTTTCTTTGTAGCCATGTAGTGATCCATCTTTACCATTTCGCCTATCTTACAGTGGATATAACCTATGTTGTAGACAACGTTAACTGCTTAAAACCACTATCGCAACCGTTTAAATCACAGGTAAGTCTTTCTACAGACCAGAAAAATAATCGTCGTTTGGGGGTCTTTCTTTTCATTTCGATGTTTCTTGGTAGGAATTTAGAGGCAAAATACTTAACATATCAACAGCAAAGACTGTTCGGTTAACCTTTTTTTTTTAAATCTTATCTTTTAAATACTGAAGCATTCAAAATCGCCCATTATCCTTTTCAAAATTTTGTTATGTTTCGATTAATCAAATTTTTATTTATTTGCAGTTCATTAAAGAGCTCGAAGTATCTATAGCAACGTTTCTTAAAGAAATAATAGAAGAATCCAAATGGTGAGCAACAACATTTAATTATATCTTAAGTAATAGTACATTAGTTAATAATGAGGACCTTAGATCACTTATTTTAAAAGCTAATAAATATAGGGAGCCCCCACCCTTCAACTGGCATTGGAATTTCATAAATATTATGGATTATGTTGAAGATTACACCAGACGATGGGCCAGAGAAGAAAACGAAGACGTAGACACTTTGTCAGAATGGATTAAATGTATCAGATCCATGTTGAAATCGCGTAGTAAAAGATTGAGGGGCAATATGAAAACCATCTATCATTCTCTATTAAAAAATCAAGAAGGGGAATTTTTTTAAAATAGATTACATGATCAGTACATGCTGATCCTGCTGACAAAACAGGTACAGGTAACAACATTGTCTTCGTTTGTAAGACTCATTATATGAATTGTATTTTAGAAGAACTTGGATTGAATTTGACAAGTGGTGATCTTACTTATACTCATAGTTCCCTTTCTAAGGAAGAAATTCTTCAAAATCATACACCAGTTTTGAATTTTTTTCAATATCCAGAAGGACCAAAATGAATTTGAACTACCATATATATATTCGATTCCAAAACTTCACAAGAATTCTTACAAATAAAGATACATTGCAGGTTCCAGTAAATGTTCAACTCAGTCTCTTTCTTTAATCTTCACAAAGATATTGACAGCTGTGAAGGAAAAACTTCAATGATACTGTGCAATACAGGATTCAAGAAGTTGTGTGGATCAGACATGGATGCCTAAAAATTCCAAAGAACTTTTGGACAATTTGAAATCACAAGATTTTACAAAAATCAACAGCTTAAAAACTTACGACTTTTCAGCTTTATACACAACCATTCCCCATGATAAATTAAAGTCCAGGCTTTTTTAATATCATTGACAGCTATTTTTTCAATGAAAATGGAACTCGTAAATTTACTTACCTGGTCATTGGTCATTTGCAAAATTATTTTGTTAAAAAGCCTTCTGATTGCACACACATGTACTCTGAAGGTGACATCAAAAAGATGCTTGAGTTTCTGGTTAACAATATCTATCTGGTTTTTGGAAACTAGGTCTCCAAACAATCTATTGGAATTTCCATGGGTACTAATTTCGCTTCGTTATTATCAGACCTGTTTTTGTATTCATATGAAGCAGACTTTGTGTAAAATCTTATGCGTGAAAAGAAGAAAACACTTGTTGTGACCTTCAACTCGACATTTGATATATCGACGACATATTGTCAATTAACAATGGTAATTTCCATTCCTATGTCGGTACGGTATATACTGGAGAGCTTGAGATAAAAGATACCACAGAGTCTGACACATCTGTTTCATACTTGGATATTTTACTTGAAAAGACATCAATGGTAATCTAACAACCAAGCTCTATGATAAACGTGATGCCTTTAACTTTTCTATTGTCAACTTCTCTTACTTATGCAGCAATATACCATCATCACCTGCATACGGAGTTTATATATCTCACTAGATACGATACGGAAGAGCATGTTCTACGTATGATTAATCTCTAAAACAAGGTAAATTATTGACAAACAAGTTGATGAAACGAGTATTTCAAAAGTCTCGTTTAAAGTAATCATTTTGCAAGTCTTATGGTCGATACAATGACCTTGTCAGCAAATACAATTTATCATTGAGTCAAATGCTGACTGACGTTTTTCACACTTATTGTTAGCCCATTATTTATACACTGAATTGACGACGTATTTTCCCATTGTTTCCCTATCATGACAAGGAGCAAACGGCAGGGGATGCTTGCTTCTCCATGGCACCGTATCCCACCTCTGATGCTTTGGAGATCCCTGTTTGCTCTGCTCATATTTTGTATTGTTTTATGGACTTTGATATTGAATGCTGTTCGTTATCTCCACATTCTTCATGCATAAAATGTATGAAAAATATGATTTACAAAGTATGCAGAGTTCTTTCTATCAAAAGTTAATATATAGGATAGCTTACATTGAAAACAAACATATAACGTCAATAATAACCAATTCTTGCAGCTTGTCTTGTCCAATCAGACGAGCGCCAGGCATCACGTGGAATTATGGATACACCGGTGATGAGCGCTTGCTCGAGACTGATTATGAAGAGATTGTATTTGAGACACAGAGTAAATGGCAGAATATAAAGATCGCCAGATCGAGGGAATTTGGGAATGTTCTACTCCTGGATGATGATATAAGTGAGTATAAGAACACCAAATTAAAAAAAACAGTATAAGTAAACAAATTACAAAAAATATTCACTATCACTATCTGCCTGAAATTTTGCAACCCAAGTATAAAAAAAGATGGATTTTATTATAAACTTCATTTGCCTTTTTCAGTTTTAAATATTTTAATAAAATTCTTTTGATAAAAAAACCTTATTACATTACCAAAGATAATTTAGGCTTGTGAGTTTTTTTCAGTGCTAGGTGAGAGCGACTTAGTATACACAGAGTCATTGCTGGGAATTGGAAAAAACGTCTTTAAGGATAAGCAAATACTTATACTTGGTGGAGGGGATGGGGGCATATTACATGAACTGTTGAAACAGTCTCCAGCTTTTGTTCTCATGGCGGAGGTAAGAAGATATTTAATGCGTAAATATGTATTTAAAGATATCGAAATTCTGCGATAAGGTATAGAATGAATTAATACAAGTCCTGTTTTAGATAGACGAAGAGGTGATAAAAGCCTGTAGTAAACACATGAAGGCGGTATGTGGGGACACCCTAAAGAAATTAGAGGGTGACAACTATAAGGTGAGACAGAGAAAACCTCACAGGGGAATTTGGTAGGGAGGGGAGAAATCAGGAGAATTGTCAAAATTTAAAATTATAATTTATGTAGAGATTGAATATGAAGATAACACGCAATAACCAAGCTCAAAAGCTTCGAATCATTAAAAATTGAATAATTACAGTTTATAACAATTCTGAAATTGAACACCATTAACGCTTTTTACAAAAACTTAGAACTGCAAAATATATGTACTTTATAAGAATATTGGGATTTTGTTATGTTGATTTTGTAATATTTGTGACGTAGATAAAAATTTGTGATTGCATACAAGAACTTAAAGTGGCAGTGGAGTCAGGAACGAGATATGATTACGTCATCAACGACCTGACGGAATTCTCAGTTGACAAGGAAAAATACGGTGAAATATTTGATTTGATTAGCTGGTGATGGAATTTTAACTGTATCTATAAATTTAAAAATAATTTGTATGACAGTTGCCCTTTAGGCCGCAAATGAAATATCCTGATTCAATTCACATGTAAACTGTAATCCAACAATATATATGTATGTATATAAAGCACTAAAAATGACCAACGACACGAACAATAAAAATTGTCAAATTTTCGGGACGCCCTGTCCCTCCCTCAGGACAAAGAAAAAAGTCATAAGAAAAAGAGACACAAAAACAACTAGCACTACTACTAAACTACCAAACACTATATATTTACAAACTTAGTTATATGTTGAAATGGAAATTTTTACGAACACTATTAAAGAAAGAAAACTGGACCGCTATGAAATACGTCCGGTCTATCGGGTATACTCGGGTGAAGTGTGATTTACATAATTGAACGAATTAATTATACCTAATGGTATTAACAAACTGAATGACTTTACCAGAATGAACGTAAACTAGATCCAATTCCTGAAGATACTAAACAAGATTATTCTCTCAATTTAGTGTAAACTCTACAGTTAATTTGCGTCACCAACTCTCGAACAACCCACTTAACTATGAATTGCTTACGCCTTTGTTATTTATTTTTTTCCGATCATAAGTCCTAAAATATTTCAAAATTTATAATAGATCATAATTCTTATTTCAAAATATCCCTGCTATATTATTTTTCGTTGATTATTCTTTATCAAGTATAGTTACGCCATTTTGAGATAATGAAACAATGTACAATTTACTGATTGTCGTAATTAATTAGCATAATTAATTCGTTCAATTATGTAAATCGCACTTCACCCGAGTATACCCGATAGATCGGACGTATTTCATAGCGGTCCAGTTTTCTTTCTTTAATCGTGTTCGTAAAATTTCCAATTCAACATGTAACTAAGTTTGTAAATATATAGTGTTTGGTAGTTTAGTAGTAGTGCTAGTTGTTTTTGTGTCTCTTTTTCTTATGACTTTTTAACTTTTTTCTTTGTCAGGAAGGGACAGGGCGTTAATTTTTATTGTTCGTTCTTGGTCATTTTTAGTGCTTTATATAAATTTCCATCCGTGACCTTGTATCTAATTGGTAGATCCGACATTTAGGATATACAGTGTTGTTGGTTTTTTAGTGCTTTTTATATCCTTTTTCGCCAACTGTATCTTCACAGATCCACCCGTATATCCATCATTTCTTTATTTATATTTTCTGTTCTTTTCATTTATTTTTGGTTATGTCTTTCGTCATTTGATGTTTTTTACTATTTATTTTGTTTCCAACCTTTGCAAATTAGTTTTTTCCGCATTTTCCTTTCGAGTTTTACTCATGTATCATTTGTTTTTAAAATTTTTGAATCCTTGCACGAATTATCTACGAAATACGTTAGAATACAGAACAATCGTTCGTTGAATCTTTCGACTTCATACGACTAAAAACTTAAAAGTAGTCTTATCATTTTGGCAATTATAATTTCCTTTCAAATATGTCTATTAAAGATAACCCAACATTTAAACTTCTAAAGAAAGAACACCAAAAATCAATAAAAACTGAACACCGGGTCTCCAATTTACAGACCTACTTAGAGTGTGACATTATACCGAAAGGCTTTCAGATAAATGTTACACCAAACGCTTTCAGAAACACTGGGATGTTATTACAAGGAGATGTTCTAAACAATTGATGTCATTCTGTCTTTCTTGGGATATCCACAAGTTAGGACAATTGAAGAGTGAGATCAAGTCCTTAAGGTGCCTCAAATATCATGTCCCAGGCCGATCTTGATGAAGCCCATAATATTAATATAATAGGGCCCTAACAAATAAAGTCAACAAGACTCAAAAAAAGAAATTTCTCCGCGACAGTGTTCCACAGTCTAGGAACAACTGGTCAGAGGTCAGAGTTAACAAAACACGTAATATTTCAAACTTAAGACAATGCGAGGGACGTACAAACTCCTGACGTCTGCCCAGTGCTCAATACATCTAGTGCTCCTCTCTCCAAATCGGAGAAAATTATGTATATACCCGAGTATAATTTTTCATAGCTTTTGTGTTCGTAAAAATTTCCATTTCAACATATAACTAAGTTTGTAAATATATAGTGTTTGGTAAAAATGCTAGTATGACTTTTTAACTTTTTTTCTTTGTCCTGAGGAAGGGACAGGGCGTCCCGAAATTTTTATTGTTCGTGTCGTTGGTCATTTTTAGTGCTTTATATAAATTTCCATCACCTTGTATCTATTGGTAGAACATTTAGGATATACAGTGTTGTTGGTTTTTTAGTGCCTTATATATATATATATATATATATATATATATATATATATATATATATATATATATATATATATATATATATATACTAATATATATATATATACTAGTATATAAGAGTCGGATATCAAAAATCAAAGTCAATGCAGGCTTTCAGTCTTTTTTTCTTACCATTAATGATTCTTAACATAATTTCAGGGAAATACCCCCATCTAATAAGGACTAAGATTTATTAGCATAAGACACGCTTTTTTGCCTTTATTTTTAGGGTTTGGATATCAGTTTGAAACAAGTTGTGCAACACTTGAGTTGTCTCTAAGGGTGCTTCAACCTGGCGGAAAATACTTAGCAAGAGTAAGAGTTTTAAAATATTAACTATGCCAGTGTTTAGTTTCATAGAGGAAAATTATATATTTATTATATATATATATATATATATATATATATATATATATATATATATATATATACACGTTTTAAGCTTTTGTATCGAAATAAAAAAATGTTAAATTAACGTACACAAATAAACGTTTACATAGCTAATTCTTTATTTTGATTTCCTGGATAGAAAAATACTCAGTATCAGAAGCATCTTGTAAGATTGTTCTGAATTCCGTGCATTAATTTACTTGATATGACTTAATTTTTTATTTTGAATAGGGAAATTGTCTAAGTGCCAGTAACTATACACAACAGTTTGAGAAAGATGTACGAGCTCTTGGTCATAACTTCACAAGAACAGATGTCCATGTTCCTTCATTCAAAGAAACGTATCCTTGAAAATGCTAAATTAAAATGAGAAATAAAAGGGGGAAAAGTAAACAATCGATATTTACTTTCATTTCACTTCTTAATTAATGTACAATTAATGATATTTTTAAGCCATTTGTCACATGTTTACCGCCAACTTGATATTGAATAAATTTATTTGATATTTTTAGCTCACCTGAGCCGATAGCTGAAGTGAACTTATCTGCTCAAAATTTGTCCGTTGTCTGTCGTTGTCGTCTTAGTCGTTGTTGTTGTTGTTGTTGTCGTTGTAAACTTTTTATATTTTCATCTTCTTCTCAAGAGCCACTGGGTCAACTTCAACCAAACTTGCTACATGGTATCTTTGGGTAAAGGGGATTCAAGTTTGTTCAAATAAGGGCCACGCCCTTTTCCAAGGGGAGGTAATTATGAATTAGACAAAAATTAATGGCATTTTAAAAAAATCTTCTTCTCAAGAACCACTGGGTCAGGAAAAATGAAACTCATGTGGAATTATCCTCAGGTAACGTAGATTCAAATTTGTTCAAACCATGACCCCGGGGGTAGGGTGGGGCCACAATGGCCGATCAAACTTTACATAGGAATATATAGGAAAAACATTTAAAAATCTTCTTCTTAAGAACCACTGGGCCAGGAAAGATGAAACTCATGTGGAATTATCCTCAAGAAGAAGGATATGGAGATAACGAACAGTATTCAATCTCAACGTCCATTAAACAATATACAAAATAAGAGCAGAGCAAACACGGACCTCCGAAACATCAGAGATGGGATCAGGTGCCATGGAGGAGTGAGCATCCCCTGCCGACCGGTCCCCCCCGCCGTGTGCTCGTTGTCATGATCAGGAAATCACGGAAAAAATCCGTCGTCAATTCAGTGTATAAATAATGGACTAGCAATTGGTATGAAAAACGTCAGTCAGCATTTGACTCAGTGATAAATTGTATTTGCTGACAAGGTCATTGTATCGACCATAGAATTTACGAAATGATGACTTTAAACGAGACTGTTGATATTCTTGTTTCATCAACTTGCTTGTCAATAATTTACCTCGTTTAAGAAATTGTTCATACATAGAGCACGCTCTTGCGTATGAAATCAACTGAGATATATATACTCCGTATGCAGGTGAAGGTATATTGCTGCATAAGTAAGGGAAGTTGACGATAGAAAACTTAAAGTCATCACGTTTATCATATAGCTTGGTGTTTTTTTCAAGTAAAATATCCAAGTATGAAGCAGAAGTGTTGGACTCTGTGGTATCTTTTATCTCAAGCTCACCAGGATATATCGTATCGACGTAGGAATGGAATTTATCATTATTAATTGATAATACGTCGTCGATATATCTAAATGTCGAGTTGAAGGCCATAGCAAGCATTTTCCTCATTTCACGCATAAGATTTTGCATAAATTCTGCTTCATATGAATATAAAAATAGTCTGCTAATAACGGAGCGCAATTTGTACCCATGGGAATTCCAATAGATTGTTGGAATACCTGGTCTCCAAAAACCACATAGATATTGTCAATCAGAAACTCAAGCATCTTCTTGATGTCAACTTCAGAGTACTTAAGTGTGCAATCAGAATCTGTTTTAACAAAATAATTTTTCAAATGACCAATGACGAGGTATGTAAATTTACGAGTTCCATTTTTGTTGAAGAAGCAGCTGTCAATGATATCAAAAAGCCTGGATTTTAATTTGTCGTGGGGAATCGTTGTGTATAAAGTTGAAAAGTCGTAAGTTTTTAAGCTGTTGATTTTTGTAAAGTTTTGTGATTTCAAATTGTCCAAAAGTTCTTTAGAATTTTTAAGTATCCACATCTGATTTACACCACTTCTTGAATAAATAGTTGCACAGTACTCTTGAAGTTTTTCCTTCACTACTGTCAATATTTTAGTGAGAAGTAACGAAAGAGGCTTGGTTGAACATTTACTGAAACCTGCAATGTATCTTTGTTTGTAAGGATTCTTATGAAGTTTCGGAATCCAATATATATAAGATAGTTCAAATTCATTTTGGCTCTGTGGAATATTAAAAGTATTCAAAACTGACAGGTGATTTTGAAGAATTTTTTCCTTAGAAAGAGAAGTATGAGTATAAGTAGGATTACCACTTGCAGAATTAAATCCAAGTTCTTCTAGAATCAAGTAATGTAGATTCAAGTTTGTTCAAATCATGACCCCCGGGGGTAGGGTGGGGTGGGGCCAAATGGCCGATAAAAGTTTTACATAAAAATATACAGGGAAACCTTTTAAAAATTTATTTTCAAGTACTTCAAAGCCATTCTTAGTGATATTTATATGGAATCATCCTCAGGTAGTGTAGATTCTAGTTTGTTCAAATTATGACCCCGTGGGGGGTTGAAATTCAAGCCCCCAGCCACCTCCAACCTCAGTAAACTTTTAGTTCTGATCTGATATGTGCTTTTTCCTAGCCAATTGCTCAGGTGAGCGATGTGGTCCCTGGGCCTCTTGTCTTCTTTTTTTCCAGCATTACATTTTGGCACACACTAATGCGTCTGTATGCATTTGTAAACATCGCAAATCTGACAAGCGATTTTTTATGAAGAAAGATAATTTCTTTCTGTGTGAAATAAAGAAAAAGAATTTTTTTTATGCTGAACAATTCCAATGGCTTCATAATGTACCTGATTACGAAGCTCAAGGAAATGTATATAAGTAGAACACATGAAATATAGGTAACATATGGGGGTCCCATTTTATCAAATCCACTGTTTTCTATATCCTTGTCTTAGACACGGGGTTAGAAAACACAATAGAATATTATTTTCATTACAAAATTTATAAATAAAGGCCTTTTCTATATAAATCTGCATATAATACTCGAGATTTCCTTACCTCAACCTAAGATACTGTTTGTATGAAGTCCAAAAGCATTGATGTTATGTGAGTCATCATCGATATGGGAAAAGTTAATCCTCAGGTCCCCTTTGTATTTTACCTAATTTATACAATTCAAAATTTCAAAAAAATATTTGTTATATACATGTATTGAATTGGCATTAAGTGATAAATTGATATTATTAATATTAAGTATTTTTGATTTTTTTTTCGACTTGATCTAAATACTTCATTATCTAACATTGAATATCCTTCATCTATTGAATGTTAAAACAGTTTACTGGTCCATAATTATTCGGGATGTCAATTTTACTCAGACAGCATAGTCGAATAGTCGGATGCTTTAGTCGAACGATAGTCGAATATTCGTTTAATTTTAATTATTTTTTCATACCAGTTTCACTGTTTGTCTTTTACAGGTTAGTTTACAATATTTAACCTACGCTATCAGCATTATACAACGAATTGCTGAATTGTAAACATGTACATAAAAACTGTACATCAATATGTATCCAATGTATTTATTTTAAAAATTGATATATTACATATGTAGCTGCACGTTTTATCTAAATGCAGGATATCAAATGCCCATATTTGTTCTTTCTTTACATAACGGTAGTACATGTACCCCATAATTGAAGCCAATTATTAAGTGTCCGTCAATGATCTTTGACAGGTAAACAATTAAATCGCGTTTCTTATAAAAACAAAGCGAGAGCTTGGGATAAATTTAAATTATGAAATTTTGTGCAAACAATCAATGATTGTATGACATTAATATCAGAAGAAGAAAACACGGTTTAATTACTCTCATATTAACTGCCCCCGATTTACATGTATTTACGATTTTGTAATAGCTGTTTACTAGTAATTGATATTATTTCTGAATAGACATGTTTGCCGAACATACATCGACGTACAAATAATTTCCTTTGAACAGTTATACCATACCCTTAATTTTACAAATGAAAATTTGATCTGTAAATAAATGAAATGGGCAAATATAAGTTTATTGCCTTGAATTCAAAATTACTTTGATGAAACACATTTTTAACGAATAACCGACTAAAGAAATTTTAGTCGATAGTCGGTATGATCGAACGATAGTCGAGTACTCGAATATTCGTTGACATCCCTAATAATTATGTATGTTTAGAATTTTTATGTCATTAAGATGAAAAGGTTGTATATATAGCACTTGATATGGTCTCAAAATTTACTCTCAGGAAGGAAATATCTAACAAGCGTTTGTTATGCACTTGGAGATAATGTGATGATTGTGAAATGTACAAAATGTAAAATAAATGCTCATTTATTCTGATCCTTATCTGGCTGACCTCTTTTAGCTCACCTGAGCAGAAGGCTCAATTGAGTTTTTCTTTTTCTGATCAAAATTTGTCCGTTGTCTGTTGTTGTCATCGTTGTTGTTGTAGTCGTTGTTGGCGTCGTTGTAAACTTTTCACATTTTTATCTTCTCCGCAAGAACCACTGGGCCTATTTCAACCAAACTTGCCACAAAGTATCCATAGGTGAAGGGAATTCAAGTTTGTTCAAATGGAGGGCCACACCCTCTTCCAAGGGGAGATGATTATGAATTAGTGAAAATTAATGGCCTCTTTTAAAAATCTTCTTCTCAAGAACCACTAGGCCAGCAAAGATGAAATTCGTGTGGAAGCATCCTCAGATAGTGTAGATTCAAGTTTGTTCAAATCATGACCCCCAGGGGTATGGTGGGGTCTTGATAGGGGGTCAAAGTCACATAGGAATACATAGGGAAAATCATTAAAAAAATTCTAAAGACCAGCAAATCCATGATTGGTCATAATAATTGGAAGAATCGTCATGTGGTGTAGATTCAAATTTGTTCAAATCATGACCCCACTTGAATCCACTTTTATATTTAAGTTTTTCAATACTGAAATGACATTTGCTTTTAGCTTTACATAGCCAGAGCTCAGGTGAGCGCTGTGGCGGCGCCTGGGCCTCTTGTTATAGATAAGTTGACTCGATATATCCATTGAACCCGAAATCATAAAACGTCACAGGGTCTGCTTGATTCGTTTCATATTTTGATTATTCTTCTGACTGTAGACGATAACGGCCAATTATCATCTGAGTTCAGCTTTTCCATCTTCAACTTTATTTATTATGTCATACTCGCGATCACCTGGATATGACTTTCATGTCTCCCAATTGTATTGATACTCAAGAGCATGCTCTGAGTTCAGAATTTAAATTGAGGGAGTCTACTGACAGATAAGTTGATGTGTCATGGATTTCAACAACCTTGTTTATAGTCAGCATTTTGTAATTCTATATGGCTGAGATGTGTTTCTATCGTCTTTTAAATGCTAAATTTGACTCAAGTAAATTCCGTCTATCTGATCAGTAAACAAGGCTCACAACGTAAATTACAAGGTTAACATTGGATGCTTTCTTTGACAAACTTGATTTTCACAATCATTTTTTTTTCCTTTTGTATTTATTTGTTAAGTTCTATTTCGTAACATAACATGTAAACATGTATACCTGGGAAAAGATAAAAAAAAAATTCCCATAAAAGTGTATTGTCGCTCTAAAGTCAACAGCATAGATTTTTCCCAAACTACTGTAAATGTATTATATTTATCGTGTACGATATTTCGCGGAAATTGATTTTTGAACATGTTTGCGTGAATTTGATTTAGCGCATATCATAATGTTCTTCTTTATGGGTATATATACCAGACAATTAGCGTTGTACTTGAATTACCGGATATTGCTTTCCGCTAAAAACGCTAGAAGGAATACACATCCAAATGTAATACGTTTACAATAAACAGTTAAAGCTTACATCTGAGAAGCCAAATTTGATTCCGCTGACAGCGCTAATAAGTGAACTATGATTTGTGTAGTGGCAAATCTTACGACTGAAAATCCTATGATCCTTATAATGTGCTGTTAAATAAGAGATAGTGCGAGAAAGTCAGCAAGAACAGTAAAGAAAGATTTTTGCATTATTTGACAATGTATAGACCAATTGTCAAAGAAGTTTAAATCCCATTTTTAAAATATTCAAATATCGAAGTCAATTTTTATTCAATGATTCTAGCCTCTATCTCAGTTTAAGAAATTTACAATTACATAACATAAACTTCGTTCAAAAATTGGTGAATTCATGAAAAAAATAGTTTTATTTCACATGCAACGTACACACAGATAGTTTTAGAAGAAAAAAACATTAACATTCCTTCTTTTAAACGTAAACAGAAACTAATAAAAGTATAAAAGGCTTAACATTTTTTATAATAACAAAATCTTGAGAAATTAGTATCACAATGATTAATTTTGGGGTCAAATTTCATGTTTTTGCCTCACTGAAAAACAGACGATTTCATTCTTAACTATTGAATCTACCAAGGAACATTCAGAATTTTTGAAACTGTACTTGTAATCAACAATGTAACTTTTTAACGATATTTTGCCCAGCTAATTATAGTATAAATTAATAGTACCCTCATTGGCTTTCATACAAAAAACATCATATTTTCAAGACTTTTGAACACAAAGCAAATATATTTTTTTAAAGGAAAATTCAGACAAAAATGTAGCTTTTCCTTATTTTCTGAAAAAAAAAATTATAAATCGCAAAAATGTTTCTCAATTACTGAAACTATGTAAAAAAAGGATAAGAGAATAATAAATTGATTTGAATAACAATATTTACGCTCAAAAAACTTCATTGAAATACAAATTGGGAGCATTATAAATACGGTCCTCTAAAAGCAATAGGTAGGATCAAGCATTATAGCTCAAAAGTCCAACTGAATAGGTGGGATTAGGCGCCATGGAGGAGTGAGCATCCAGTGCCGACCGGTCACACCTGCCGGGTGTTCCTTGTCATGTTTAAAAAAAAAGGGAAAAATTCCTGGACAACTCAATGTGTAAATAATGGCCGAACAATCAGTATATAGTAAAATAAGTCAGAATTTGACTTATAATGATTAATTGTTTTTCCTGACAAGGTCATTGTATCGATCATAGAACTTATGAAATAATTACTTTAAATGAGACAGCTGATGTTCCTGCTTCATCAACTTGTTTGTCAATAACTTTCCTCGTTTCAAAAATTATTCAAACGAAGAGCATTTTCTTTCGCATCAAATCAACGGAGAGATATAAACTCCATATGCAGGTGGAAAAGATACATTGCTGCATAAGTAAGGAGAGTTTACGACAGAAAAAGTTAAGTCATCACGTTTATCAAAAAGTTTTGTTGTTAGACCAGTGACGTCTTTTCCTAGTAGAAAGTTCAAATATGAAAGTGATGTGTAGAACTCTGACTGTGGTATCTTTTAATTTAAGCTCACTAGGATACATAACGTGGCCTAATTAGTGCCCATTTGGAATTCTAATAGAGTGTTGGAAGACCTGGTTTCAAAAAAGCCACATAGATATTGTTATTCAGAAACTGGAGCATTTTTTAAATTTCAACTTCAGAGTTCTTGTCTGTGCAATCGAAGTGTTTTTAACAAACTTATTTTGCAAATTACAAATAACAAGGTAAGTAAATTTACGAATTTCAATTTTATTGAAAAAACACCTGTCAATGATGTCAGAAAGCCTGGACTTCGTTTTCTATCCATGTGAAACACTTTTGTTTCTTGTTTATATATCAAGAAACTTTTGAGTTTTTGCAATGAAATTTTATACGCTTGCAACTTACAAAATTTCCCTGTGTCTTCTTTTCCCCGTCATTTTTTTTCCAGAAGTCAATTGGCATCGATAGCACTCAAAGTTTTTGTGTTACATGTATTTCCTGATTGTATTGAAAGAACATGTGGAGAGCTATTACATAAAATACAGGTTGTTGACGGACTTTATATTTCAATTACAGACAGTGCCTATCTGTTCATCTCTTTGAAATGATATCTGAAGGCTAAATTAGACAACATGTGTTAAAATGCAACAATATCGAACGTGAAGAGAAACATGTATATATGACCTTCTGTTTACATTTAATTTGCAGGAATTTCAAGCGCCTCGTTGATCTTTTGGAATGTGAGAGGTTCCTGGTTAAAGTCCCGGATATCATTAGCTCACCTGAGCCAAAGGCTCAA